CTCTCAATTCTCAATTATAAAATGAATTTAATTCCACTTGAACTTGAAATTACAGTATTTGAAGTGCAAGATTGAAAAAGAGATAGTGAATTGCTAGAAATGGAAATGATTTTCTAGCGACAAGTTGAGTACTACGACTATAGAAGGGAAGCTTTGCTTCATAGATAGCTTCACTTCCTCATCGCTTCTTTATGATGACTAGCTTCTTAAATGGGTGGCTTGGTAACCAACAAGCTACCCTTAGCATTGGTAAAATCCCTATAAGAAAAAGCTAAAATGGTGGGAAATTAGGCCCTCCCTATAATTATCTTTTCACTTAATATGATCACAAACGAAGATAGAGAATTAGAGGAAACCTAATTATCAATTATTAAGCCAATTAATATTTTAAGTATCATCGAAAGCTTAAAAGAAATGTAAGGAATAAAACAAAGGTTGAAGGTCAATACGTAATGCATATATTATGAAAAAAGCTTCATTATTTTGTTCACACTACTTCAAACCTCATATGTATACTAGGCATCGGATATATCCTTTGCTAAAACTAACATTTTCATCGCTATTTAGGTATAACGATGGAACATGGAGGGAAATAAACCATTGATAAAATGTTTATCGCTAGGTTTGTTAGCAATAGATATTTTATCGCTATTTTGATATATTTTCATCACTATTTCATTGTAAACATTCATACAAATGGTTTAAATTCCATCATTATATAGAGATGGAAATCCATCACTAAATTTTATCTTTAATTTTAGTCGTCATCCGTCGTTGATATCCGTTATTAATTTATGTTACTAAAAGTAAGTTTTTGTCATTAATTTTCATCGCTAATAGTAAATTTAAATTTTTTTTATCATTAGGGTGTTGCTAATTCATTGTTAAATTAGCTTCTTTTTTTAAATTGTTCATAAGCTTTTAAATATTTCATCATATTAGCCAATAACTATAAAATTAAAATCATAACATGAAATATCATTAAATAATACAATATGAATGTAAAATCAAATGCCATATATGTGTATGTGTGTGTGTGTGTAGGTAATACAATTTGGTATACAAACATATTAAAAAAATAATTTAAAGAAAACTAGTCTCCATCAAGATCATTTACTTGCTTCATCTTTCTAATGCTGAATATTAGAAGGAAAATCGAACTCCGGGTAGGAGGGTGGATTAAAAGGGGGACGTAACTTCGAGTGTTTTCCTCTAAAATATGCTCCATCCTCTCCATTCATTGCTACATACATTGGCTACCCTTCTTGTATTTGTTCTCCATTCATCGATATGCTGAACATAGTTACGCTTCATATCCTTCGACTTCTTATTTGACTTAGCCATTATCTTGCTATATAAGACCGGGGAATCTTGATATGACGGAGGCTGAGTTGGCAAGAAAATATAAGTAAAACAAGAATGATTTTATTTTGAGGTCGTACACTCTATGTTTTTTTTTCTCCTCTTATAACCTTAAAATATATCTATGACATATTGATGCTTACAAATGATGAAGCACCCTCTATCTATCGGCTCGCGACTAATGCACACATTTGGTTCATGCTCTCCTACATAATAGAAAAAAATTATACTATTAAATGATAAATATAATTTTTTGATTAAATTTACATGTGTATAATTAAGCTTACCCCAACTGCTTGGGATTACGGATCTATAAATGATCCATTCTAGTGTTTGTGAGTCCTTACGAATAACTTGTAAAGATTTGGGTAATAACCCAACTCCTTAACCTAAAAAATAGAAATAAACAATATGAGATGTAATAAATAATTAAATATTAATTTATAACGCAATGGATAATAGAATTTACATATATTGAGTGTGCTCAATCTATGAGATAGAGCCCTCCATATGTCTAGAGGCCCAACACCAGCGAGCACCCATCTCACTCTTGTGGTTTCATACCGCTTGCTTAAAACAAGCCCGAAACTATGGTTTGTTCCAATTCATTCGTCATGCATTCCACACCAACTCTAAGACAAACTCGGGTTTTATTGGTCTTTTTCTTCAAATACATCATTTTGACACTTACAACGATTACAAAGACACTTTATCTTTCTTCCGTTCATACACTTAGGATGACTAGCAGCAAATTCTCCAACCTCATTTAAAAAACTCTCATTTAAAGTCTTATTGGTTGACCTAAAGTCCATCCATGTATGATTGAACCTTATATTTCCTTTTTGCATATTTGAGCCAATACGCAATAACTTTATTACCAATTCTCGCTAAAAATCTAATGAAATTTTGGCATAGTCTCCTTTGCAAATTGGATGTTTTTCAATTTCAAGAGACTTCACTTGCATAAAAAAAGAAGAAGCTATATATATAAACTCGACACAACACATATAAACATTTTCAATTAATTATCATCACAAAAACATTAACCAAAAGTCACATTCAAGCAATCAAATAAATCAATTTGTGCACATCATGATCCGTACTTGCCTTGGATCATCCATTAAATTAAAATCCCAAACTCATCCTCCTAGCCCCTTTACTGGAGTATTGAACCAATCTTATTTCTCGTAAATTCTCGAAGGTCTTCGACCCCTCAAGTTCGATAAGCTTTAATGTATATCGGAACACTTCAACAAATATTAGTAATATAATTGCAATATCGATTGTCATAACTAACAAAAAATTACTCTATGAAATAAATTATAATTTGAAGTTTCAATAACTTACCTTGCTAGTATAAGTGGTTGAAAAATTATTAGAATGGTTGGAGTGATCGCTGACAATGCTACTTATGACTATATAGCTATAATAATTTTGTATATAAATAATCAATGTCACAGTTCATACAACAACTAATTATTTATCCATATCAAAGAAATTGACCAAAAATTAATTTATCAAGTTTTAAATCTTAAGTTCAAATAATCAAATATTGAGTAAATTTTAAATTAAAACTTTAATTTTAAATATAATATGTTGTTTTAAATCAAATAACTTAATTATCAAATGACTCTACCTATATTTTTAAGGCTTAATGTTCCGGAAAATCATGAACTATATACTTTTTAATATTTAAGTTTGTTCTTTAAAAATTGTATAGAAAGATCACTAACTAAGTTTTCAATAATAATATTAGCATCGATTTGATTTTTTGATCAAAATTTTGATCAACGCCAACTTGATAGTCTAAGTAAGCATGACATGTGAACTTTAGCAAGCAACCTAGGATCTATGTAAGCAAGTGACGTGAAAAATTAATTACGTAGATCCAACGTGGCTTGCTAAAGCCCATATTATGCTTATATGGATCCTAAGTGGTTTCGTCGAAGTCCACATGTCATGCTTCATCACTTGCTATGTCAACGTTGATCGAAATTTTGATCGAGAAATTAGATTGGTGCTAGTATTTTTATCGGATGTTTAGTTGGTGACCTTTCTATACAATTTTTAAAGAACGAGCTAAAATTATCAAAACGTGTATAGTTCACGATTTTCCGGAACATTAAGCCATATTTAATAATTGTATAACCAATTACATAATCAAAATTTTATCTTAATTTATCAATATCCAAATCTAATTAATTTAAAATAATTTTAATAAATTAAAAATATACTTAATTAATTTTCAAATAATATAAATTGAGTTTCTTAATATATTTATAAATAATTAATTACATATATGCAAATAGGTAAAATTTGAAACTCCTAAAAAAATTGTAAAATCAATTATAATGCACAAAACCCATATAAATTAAATATAAATTATGAAATAGGATTAAAAAAATATCTAACTCGGACTTCTCTTTTAGTAGAGAAAGAGAAAGAGATACACAAGGTGGAGCACACCCAAGAGAGAGGAGATATTGTGCGACTGTTTTGGAGAGAAAAAGCAGTTGGAGTGGTTGGAGATTGATGGGGAGTGGAGAAGTGGTCTTTGTGAGGTGTTTTGAGAGGGTGTTGTAGGCAACAACAATGGGTAGAGATGGCAGCGATGAGAGGAGGAGAGGGAAGGAGAAAGAAGAAAATGAGGGAAAAAAAATAGGACAAAGAAAGATATAAAGTAATCATCGAAAAGTGATCGATAGTCCGTTGCTAAATCCCATGTGCGACAATCGTTCACTAATCCATAGCTATTTAGCTATGTATTTTTAATCCGTTGTTGAGATCGGTCGCTGCATATTTTTTTTAGTGTCTTGTGTTTTCTACCAATGCTTGAAGACTAATTCTTTAGTGTTTACATATTGCTATAAGAGTGATTCCATTATGTAGAGTTTGTCAGCTGAATATCTGTCAAAGCCTAGGGTTTTCATCCTCAGCCTGCATATAAACATCATGCCATTCCCATTTTCTATTTATTGTCTCTTAATGTAATAAAGAAACATGTCACTCTCGATTTGTTTTGTTGCCAGTAGCAACTTCGGGAGATAGACAGATGAAATCCTCGTGGAAAAGTGGACTAATTTCCATTTGACTCAGAATTGCGAAGGAAAAAATCAATATCCTGATCTTGCTGATTGATTCTACTTGCATGAACTACTGCATCATATTTCAAAATCAGTTGCTCTAAATAGAAAAAAGTTCGTCCATGAGAATCATGTTGTCGAAATGGCATACCAGCAACCCATTAACTATAATTGTTTTGAATCCTTGCGCAAGATTCACACGTGTATCCTACGCTCATATTAGTGACAACTATAACATAATAACCTTTAAACTAGCCAACAACTCCATGAATCCTACCAGGTCTATAAGTGACATTATTTTCTCCCTGTTTAGTTCTGTTTGCTATAAGCACTTTCCATTACGAGCACCCGATATTCTAGCAGTCTTGTAACCAAAAGCGATTGCAATTAAATCAATAAGTTTAGGGTGCCAAAAAACCTGATCCACACTAGCCGACTGCTCCTCTTCAATTTGGGAATTTTTAATAAGTGATTTTTTTTGCATCTTGAGGCCCCTTTTTTAAGGGCAGCTGTTAGGAGAATCGCCTCAACCTCTGGGATATTCCACTAATCGGTCTAGCTATTGGACATAACCTTCGATGGTTTTGTATCAAGTACCGAATCAACAGACTCTTCATCCAGTCTGTCGTCAACACTCCTATCAACATGTGTAGCTGTTTGGTCCACATCTTCATCTTGAATTATATATTCACTAGGACTTATGTCTTTTCCATCACTATGCTCTTCTAATGTAGTCTTGGCTTCGTCAACATACTCATGATTTGCTACCTACCTCACACATGTAGTTATCACCAACCTCTATTAGGTCTTCAATTACAACAACATCGTCAATCTTACTTCCACGTAACTCCCCGTTTCCTTCTTGGATAAGTCACTATCTTTATTAAGGCTATAGTCATCATACTCTAATCTAAAAACCTTGCCGACTATCTCACTTCGATCCTCATTAAAACTTCGAGATTAATTCAAATCCACCAAAGAACTACAATCATTGACGATCTTGGCATCCGCTTCAAAAATTTCAGCCTCTTAATCATCCTCTTGCAGCTGAAATTTTTCTTTTTAAAATTCGAGATGGAAGGGATTGTCCTCTTGGACGTCATCTCCTTCATCATTCTTTTGGCCACCTACCTTTGGCTTTCCCTATTAAATTCATCAACTTATTGTTTGTCGCATTAGTATGAGCTCACATTGCAAGATCTCTATATAAATCTCTAAAAGTAGTTTTTACCTACATTCAAGTTACATCTGTATCTAGCCAATGATAAATGAACTAGTGGTCTTCTAGGAGACATCTTCACACGAGTGTCAATAACACATAACAAAAACTCATCTTTGCTTTGATACTTACACTTGACACCATAACTCTCTGATAACTCTGCACTAGTCAAACACACAAACACCAAAATCCTCTCTCGGCCAAAATCTCTACAATCATAAACAACTAATTTAGCATACACAACAACACAAAAAACCTAAAAATCCCGCAATCTTGAAACATTGCAACCAGCGAAAACCCCAGCAAACCTTATCAAAATATTGTGAAATTTTAACACAATCTAGGTTAGACCTAAATAAAGTTATGGTCAAAATTTCAAGTCAATCCAACACCTCTAGATTCCATTTTCAACAAGTTGAAATTCACACACACAAAAGCCAAAAACCCTACTCGGGTGGTGCTAAAGCCTAGGCTACACTTATTAGAACTTTGCTAAATTTTAACCAAACCCTTTTTACGATTAACAGAAGTGACTGAAAAAATTTCATGCAATTTTGAAAACTCTAATCCTAAATTCCAACCTTACGCACCTCTCTAAAGCTCGAAACACAAAAAGCAAATCCTAGATTTATACAAGGCTAGAACTAACCAAAACTTCTCAATGAATAAATGAACCTACTATAAAATTTTCAATTAAATAAATGAATCAAAATCTATTTATAAAGATAAATCAAGATTTGGGATAAGCTCACCATGATCAAATTGCTTCCTTAGGTGATCTTACCAAAGATAAGAATGTGTTCTATATGACATAAGAACATTTTTTATAAAAATATCAAAACTGTCAGACAAGTTATAAAAGAGAAGTTTAAATACTAATTCCTAAAAAATCCTAATTCAATTAGATTTGTTAACTTAGGCCTAATTTAAAATAAATTAAAACTGAATAAACTCCTAATCTAATTAAACTTAATAAACTTAAGAACCCAATCCAACTTAACAAGGGCCTAAATAAAGAATAAACAGTCCACATCAATAAAGATAAATTAAAATAACACAAAACAAGAAATAAAATAGGAGAAACAAGTCTAAATATTTCGACCCCAATAGACTATAAATATTCAACCCAAGGTTCGAGGACACTTTGGTGTCGAAGGGAACCCTTGTGTTGGTATTAAGAGGAACTAACGTCATCCGTAAAGTGCTTCCCACTCGCTTTTCAAGGTACTCGTTCGAAAGTAGTACAATAGTCTCAACCCACGATCCATTCTAATATTCGAAGACCTTAGTTCCAAGCTAGTCATCATTTTCTCCACCAATATTTTTGCACCTTTAAATAATTCATAATTTATTTCAATTATCTTCTTAATCTTAAAGTTTGTAAATAAATTTAATTATTTATTATTTAGATAAGTAAATTTTTTATAGAAAGTGAAAAAGTTATTTTAAAGTTATTATTATTTCTATTTACTTTTTCTCATAGTAAATACACTTTTATAGGATTATTATTATTTCTTCAACATAAATTTATTAGTACACAAATACACATCAATCTTTTATAATAACGAGTATGTTTTCTATAAAATGACCGCACTAATATATATATATAAAGTCAATTTTATTGTATAATGAATTTGTATTAAAAATTATTAATTTTATAAAAAAATAATTATTTTTTTATCTTCTAAAATTAGAGGTAGAGATTTATTTTATTTGCGAGAAATTGAAGAAAATTGAGACATCTATTTTTAAAAAAATTGGGATAAAGTCACCTTTTATTCTTTTTTTTTTTAATTTCAATAAATTATTAATATGGTTTTGTTCTTTTAATTTTAAAATTTATTTAAATCGGTCAAACATGACCTATATAAGAATGTAAAGTGGACATTTATCGGTTTAAGAATTAGAAGCACTCAATCAAAATTAAAAAAAAAAAGAACTAAAATATTAAGAATAATATATATATATATATATATATATATATATAGTCAAATAGAAAAGAAATATGTTATGTATTTGATAGAATTTAATAGAAACACTTAATTAGAATATTGAAAGTCTGTGCATTTAAATAATAAAAATAGAAATAGAAACATTCAAAATAGAAAGACTCAAAAATGTATACACCAAATATATAATAATCTCCAAGTTTAATAAACCTTTTGTTTTTTTTTTTTTTCAAGCTGAACATTGAAAAAAAAGAAGAAGGAAATAAATAAACTTTAGCGTGGAGCTTAAGGACAAAATTTAGAGTGCGGAGTTTGTAGTTTAAAGAGAAATTATCGAGGGGTCCCGAAATTCCACATCAAATAAGGACCCCTTCTATTTATTATGTGTCAATGTGTAAATTTTTTTCATATGGGATGAACCCTATGTTTGGATAATTCCTTTTGGGAGGAAAGAAAAGAGAGGAAAGAAATTGAGAGAAAAGAAAAGAAGGAGGTAAGAAAATTATTTTCCACTTGTTGTTTGGATAAGAGTGGAAAGGAAAGGAAAGAAAATACATTTCCTTTGTTTGGAAGAGGAAGGAAAGAAAATGTATGATTATATATTTACTATAATACCCTTGTGATTATATTTATATATTTAAATACTTATAATAAATTTGTATGAATATTTTTTTCATGAAAATAACACAAATAATAATAAAATAAAAATCTAGCATGTAGCATATATATGAAATAATAAAAAAGGGATATTTTTTTATCTATTTTGGTCAATTTTTTTTATGGTTTTGAATCCGGTATGTTAAAATAATAACGTTACCCCAAAAAGAGTATATTGTAATGTTTTTGTTTCCTTTGGAAACTTCTCAATACTTAATAGGAATGTTAAAATAAACAATATTTTTATATTCATTTCAATTGTAATTAATAAATTTATTAGAATAAGTCTCTATCATTATGATTAATAATTACTAATTACATTTACAATACAAAAGAAATCACTTTGTGGGCCTCCCGATCAACTCGTGGCACACAAATTACATTTACAATACAAAAGAAATCACTTCGTGGGCCTCCCGATCAACTCGTGGCACACAAAGACATGGCTCACTTACTCACTCTCCTTATTTGCTTGTCTCATCACTTCCATCTTCTACCCGTACTCGGAGAACCGCCGCCTATGACTCAAACTCATATCCGGCGCCTCGCGAAAATGAATTCATCACCTTCGACCGCGATCGAAGAGCCGCCGCTTCGGACGATGGGTGGTGGGGGGAAAAGGAGGTGGTCGGCGGCGAGAGTGGGAGGAGTCTGTGCTTTTGGGATAAATTCGGGGATTGGGTATTTATTGATGTTGGTTGTCATGTCGTTTAATGCGGGGGTGTTCTTGGCGGTTGTTTTAGGATTGGCAATTGGGTATTTGTTGTTTAGAAGTGAAGATGAGGATTTGATGATTCTTGACAATCCTTGTGCTTGTGCTTAGACGCTAAATAAAATGAAATTATCGTATAATTTGTAAGAAAAAAATATTAAATTTATCCTCCTAATGGTGTGTATATTTTTTTGTCAAGAATTTCTATTTTTTCAACTGTTCTTTTGGGTAATTAAATTTATCATTCTTCCGCTCCGTCTTCACCCCCCGCCCCGTCCCGAAACCGACGCACATGGCCCATTCGCTTCACGTGCGGGAAGGCAAGGTGCGAAGCGGTTCATGAGACCGCGGCGGTGTGGAGCAGCCGCGACACGAAGTGTCGTTGTACATAGCCGGGGTTTCGAGTGAGAAAAGCAGAGGGACGATGAGCAAGATGAAGGGCAAAAATGAGAATGAGAAAATTTTTGATGATTTATTAGGTTTCTTCTTCCGTTTTCCTCCCAATTTTGGGAGGAAAATGGGTCCCACCATTTATAGGTTTATTTAATATTTTTTTCTTTCCACTCGCTTTCCTCTACAATCCAAACGAGGGAAAGCTTTCATTTCCACCCTATTTCTTTCCTCTCCCTCGCTTTCATCCCTATCCAAACAGGGGGAAAGAAACCCTTCATCTTCTCCTTCATCCCCCGTCTCTCTCTCTCTCCGACGGCTTGAATCTTTTATTTTCTATGAGCATTGACGAGCAACAAGAGACAAGAAAAAATTATGGACAAGCATCGGTAAAGAAATTGAAAATCCGAGTTAGAAGCAGATGAACATTATTTCTCTTCCTCCGAAAAGCTCAAATACGGATGCATGACGGGTCTATATCATATTGAATACCACCCCGTATCCTATATGACGGCATCTCATAGAAAGTGCCATCTTTGGTTCTTCCCTATAACCCTTTTTTTCTACCAATTCTTAGACATATAGGTTGAGATGAAACATCCTAAGGTTGATCACTTCGGATAACAAATTTTCTAGCATTGTAATTTTCCACTATAAATCTAGCATGAAGAGAAACCCACAGAGAGATGGTTTGTGGGTTGTCACATAGATACGATGGAGGAAGGAGCCACCCACAGAGAGAGAGAGAGATGGCGGAGGAAGGAGCCACCCACGGATAGAGAGAGAGAGACGACGAAGGAAGAAGGAGTTGGGCGGCAAGCCGCCGAGAGAGAGAGAGAGAGATGGGGGGTGAAGGAGAAGATGAAGTGTTTCTTTTATCCCACATGAAAAAAAATTTACATATGTCATGCAATGAATGGAAGGGGTCTTTATCCGATGTAGAATTCTAGGATCCTTGGATAATTTCTTCTAATAAAAAATACCCAATTTTAAGGTTTGAGGTATCTATTAAATCTCCCACGTTCTTCTAAATTCCAATAGGTAGATTTTTTTTTCCATGAAGATTGGATTTGGCAAGATGCCTTTTTGATGCTCCATGAACTATTGGCAAGTGAGAAGAAAATCTTAACTAGGTCATTTTAGTAGATGTTGATTTATTTTTCTCATATTTTCTTCTTTGCAAGCTCACTAAGCAAACCTAACTTGAAATTTATATTTCAATTAATGTTTGCACCGTAAGCATTGTAAAGAGGGAGCAACTCGTCATAACCAAAATTTTAAAATTTTTTATTTTAATTGGCTATTTGTTTTCTTTTATTTTATTTGTTTTATTATCATGATTTGTGTTATTAGTTTTCTTTATTCCATTTCACTTAATACTTTGCAAAAAAAAAAAATTAATAATAATAATAATAAATAAATACAAAAATACAAAAAAAAATGTGAATTTAATATTCGAGTGATGCAATTGTATTAAATTCAAAATAATTACGATCATTAGGGATGCAATTGAATCATTCGTAGTTCAAGGACTAGATTACACGTACGGGGACTAAGTTGACCTAGTAATAATTTTCAAGGACCAAAATTGCAAAATTACAAAAAAATAAAAAAAAAATGAAAGAAAAAATTGTAAACTTGCACGGGAGTGGGACTACCGGTCCCACTCGCCCAAAACTAGTTTCGGGATCTTGTCTCTTGCTACATGGAACCAGCTTTGGTTTCGATTGCGAGAATCGGCTTGGTTTCGAATTGCAATTCCAAATTCCAGCGACGAATTCCCTCCACTTGTAGCAATCAATGCCATCAACTTGCAGCCTACCATTTCTCCCCTCCATGGTCAATAATTTCGGCACCTCCCTCTACTCGCTCGCTGGTCACCCTACTCGTCGCAAATTCCAAGCAATGCATCATCACCCAACTCCTCGCTCGCCGCCCTCGCACAGACCTGAATTTCCTCCCTCACCGAGTCAATCCCCAGCAGTTTCACCACCGCACGACCCACAACCACAATCCCATCAACCCCACTCCATATCCTGCAAAAAAATCTCACACCATCATGGTGGAGAACCAAGCCACATTCACACACACACACACACACACACACACACACACACACACACACACACACATATATATATATAGACGAGCAAGATATAAGAGGGAGAGGGGATTTCGATCCGAAAAAGAGGGGGCAGGAAGTCCACAAAAATTAAGAGCCCGAAATTGGAAGCAAAAACAAAGAAGAACCATTGCTTTGCAAACTACATGAGTGGTTGACTCAAGACAATAAGAAGCTAGATTTATACCTAATATCCGATGTCATTTTTGCACCCTAAATTTTGTGTAATTCTTTTATATTTTTTTCCTTGGTTTTCAAAAATCTTGAAAGAATTAAAATATGGTTTAATAATAAATTTTATTTTCGTTTTATTGCGATTTGATAATTTCGGATCCATAATATCCAATCGTGTAATTTAAATCATAAAATATTAATGATTGGACAAATATGATCTAAATTACCCAATATCTATTTATGTAACAGATCAATCCAATTGACCAGTTACTTGAAATGCTAAAACGATATCGTTTGGACATTCTAATGTTAATTATTTTTTTAATATTTTAAAAATATTTTTAACCCTCTAATCTTGAACGCTTTTCTAAATTTTTTCTTATAAAATATTATAAGCATTTTATAAATTATATAAAAAAAATTATAAATATTTTTAACCCCTAATTTTAATTTTTTTATAAAATATTATAAACATTTTATAAAAAAATATTTTTTTATAAGTTATAAAATTAGGGGGGTCAATCTTTAATTATGTTCATTTTAATTTATAATTTTTTTAAGGACTGAAATTGAGTATTGTTAATTATGTTTTGTTTTTACAACAACATTTTATTAAAAAAAATTAAAAAAATTCAAAATTAGGAGGTTAAAAATATTTATAAAATATTTTTTTTATATAATTTATAAAAGATTTTTTTTTAAAAAAAAGTTTAAGATTAGAGGGGTTAAAAATATTTTTTAAATATTTAAAACAAAAACATAATTAAAAGCATAATGTAAAAAATGACGTTATTTTGACATTCTAAATAATGATCAATCTAATTGATCCTTATACATAATGAAAATTAGACAATTTGGATCATATTTATACAATCTTAAATACTTTAATATTTAAATTATGTAATTTGGTATTATAAATTCAAAATTACCAAACCAAAATATAAACCGTTAAACTACCATAACAAATTGCATCCAAACGGTACCCTAAAGATTTTGAAAGGGTCCTCTTTAATTTGACGTTAAGCTAAGGTAAGCGTTTACATGTTGTCTTGTTGAGCTAAAAGCTACTCAACCGAAAAATCTCCTCCCCCATATCTTCTTGCTTTTTATCTGCAGAATATCTCTCTTTCTCTCTCTTTTCTACAGCAGTAGATCAAAAAATGCTTACTTTGAATCTTACACCATCCTCTCCTGTCACTTTATGTAAATCTACCAACCATAGACACTCCATTAATGCTTCTTCACTTTTAAATCCAAAACTTATCACTAGGACTCATAATGGAACTGCTCTATTTTATAAACCCTCTACTCAGATTGACGCTTTAACCACTAAAGTGTCAAACTTTGCCCAAATTCATGGTTACCCATTTAGCTTCTCTTCAAGATTCACTTTACAGAACCTTGATTCAAGCTCCAGAAGGAACCATTTTGACAAAATCCATGAAAATCAATCTGGCTTTTGCTCAAAATCTGGACCTTTTATCACCAAAGCAGCAGCATCTGAATCTGAATCCAGCCCAGAAGGAGATGCTAGTGCAGTTTCGAAGCCAAAGTCTAAAACTCTCCAACTTGCACTTGTCTTTGGTCTCTGGTACTTCCAAAACATTGTGTTTAACATTTACAACAAGAAGGCATTGAATGTGTTCCCATTTCCATGGTTTCTTGCTTCTTTCCAGCTTTTTGTTGGGTCCATTTGGATGTTCGTTTTATGGTCGTTGAAGCTTCAACCATGTCCTAAGATCTCAAAGCCATTCATTATAGCTCTTCTTGGACCTGCGTTGTTTCACACGATAGGCCACATATCAGCCTGCGTTTCATTCTCCAAGGTTGCTGTTTCTTTCACTCATGTTATCAAATCATCGGAGCCTGTTTTCTCTGTTGTTTTTTCTTCATTTCTTGGTGATACTTACCCTTTGAAAGTCTGGCTTTCTATCCTCCCTATCGTCCTTGGTTGTTCCCTTGCTGCCATCACTGAAGTGTCCTTTAATTTCCAAGGCTTGTGGGGTGCTTTGATTAGTAATGTTGGGTTTGTATTAAGGAACATTTACTCAAAAAGGAGTTTGCAGGACTTCAAGGAAGTTGATGGACTTAACTTGTATGGCTGGATTAGTATAATCTCATTGTTTTATCTATTTCCTGTTGCGGTTGTAGTGGAAGGGTCTCAATGGATTCAAGGGTATTCTAAGGCAATTGAGGCTGTTGGAAAATCATCAACTTTTTATATATGGGTGTTGCTGTCAGGTGTTTTTTACCATCTTTATAACCAATCATCCTACCAGGCACTTGACGAGATTAGCCCCTTAACCTTTTCGGTAGGTAACACTATGAAGAGAGTTGTGGTGATTATTTCTACTGTCTTGGTGTTCAGGAATCCAGTTAGGCCTCTGAATGCTCTTGGATCAGCCATTGCAATACTTGGGACTTTCTTATACTCTCAGGTGACTGCCAAGAAAGCCAAGAAACCTGAAGGTGAAAAGCAGAATTAGTCGGATTTAGTAGATTTTGATAACTCTGTTTGTTTCCTTTTCCACAGTTTAATGATATTTCTTTGCTGTCATAGTTTTAGACATTCTTACTTCTGTTCTCTGTTTTCTTTGCCATCTATAGCTTTGTGCCATACATGTCATTTAAGACTTAAATGGGAGTGGTATCTTTCATTAGTTTAGTTTCTTTACTATCATTATTTCAGTAAAACATTGTTGGTTAGAGTAAATCCTTCCCATTCAACCATTATTTGGTGCCAAAGTATTGTAATTTTAGCTTCTAAGGGAAACAATTCTTGGTTAAATTGATGTCCCAAGAGTGAGATATCTTCTTTCATGAACTGAAGAACTTTGAACATGCTGACCTTTTTAGTTGCACAACCTTATACTATTTATCTAACCTAATTCCACAAAAAAATGACTGAGAGCAATTGGTTGACTCTGTATTTTTTTCAGATTTCCTATAACACCCCAATCTAAGGTTATCCTACTTTACATGACCATAACTTGGCTACATATCAGTAATGCAGTTCGAGTATATAAAAAGTATGCTAGCCCTATTGGGTTGGTGACTCAGGTCCTTGTTCTGACGCGGAAGTTGTAACAGCACATTGGAATTTAGAATACTGTTGAGAGTTGAGATTTGTGTTTATAGCATTAGCCAAAAAGGTTTTTTGATTCAAGAATGGATTCCTTCAAATTAAGGTAGTTTGAACTGTCATGGTTGGGCTATTTAGTCAATCAAATTCAATGTAGATGTGGTTAAGTGATTATATGAACAACAATAAAAGAGTAATCTAGACTCCAAATTCATGAAAACTATTTGAAGCATGATTCTTGATCTTGTACTTTCTCCTTTTTCTTAGTTTGCATGCAATAAAGATTTTCTAGTCATACTGAATACTGAACCAGATCAGGGCTAGGGTACCAATTATTTGTGAACTTGAAAACTACTGGAATGATACTGTTAGATTAATTCTGACTTGTATATTCTTTTTTACTAAGGGCACGAACAAAATTCATGATTGTAAAATTGTAAAAGATGGAAGAAAATGGATGAACTATATAATAAGATTCCTGATTCCAGTCTCTTGAGGGCATAGATCATAGAAATGTCAGTTAACCAACAAAGGGTTTGCAGCTTAGCCATGTATGGTTGTTCTCTCTCTCTCTCTCTCTCTCTATTTTTTTTTTTTTTTTTTTTTGCCTTTTCCAAAAAATAAAGAGTATGTTGGGGCCAGAGCCATTCACTTAAAAAACACAAATGCACACTGGAGGCCCAAAAACAGCCCAGAGGAGAGGGGGATGATATGTCACATCACGTCATATCATATGGTCAAATCAATTTTCATTTTCTATTTCTGTTCTAAACTGCAAGTTTGCACTCTGTGAAGTAAAGTTGCCAAATGTAACACAGAAATGAGAGAGAAAGATACTCCCTTTGTCTGTCTGTTTTGCTTTTTTTATTTGCTTTCTTTTATCCTTTTTCGGAGGAGTTTAAGCTGATCTCAGACAGTTCAAGGGACTTGGAGGGATGCAATCGAAGGTTTGTCTTCTTTTCTCTCCCGCTACATTTTTTGTGTTTGATGCTTTCATTTAATCTTTTCATGTCTCAACTCTAAATATAATGTTTTTGTTTCTTTTGGATCATGGGGTTTGCCTGCTGCTCATGCTTTGCTACTTTAAGTTTGTTTTTGCTTTTCTTTTTTATGCTGAAAAATGAAAATGACCCATATTTTCTTTTCCCTCTCAATATTTGAGTTGGCTTGACTTAGAATTATCTATCACATTTCAAGAATTTATTTTAGTCTTAAATTATTAGCAGATATCTTTGTCTAAGATTCATGACAGGTCAAAACTTTAGATTGACAAAAAATGTTAAAATTTGAAAGAAAATGTGGAACATTTCTTTTGCAAAAAGGAAGCAAATTAGATAAGAAAGCCTGGTGTACATTGTTCTATCTGAGATTCTATCTGGTTCATGTGTCGGCTCCTATTGCTTATGGCGAAAACGATATTGTTGCTTATGAATGAAATTTCTTCATTCACCCAAAACACTGTTGCTTATGGTTAGATATAAATTATTGAAGCTAGTAAAAGATTTTCTGGTTAGTTACTGGAGTAGCAATCACCTCTAGTAGCTTTTTCTGACGATGTATGTTTTTATGTTGGCTTTTTACCAACTGGAACCTTCCTTATCTGAGTTTGGAACCTAGTGGAGGATATATCTTGTATGTATACATCTTGTATTTATGAAGCTCGGCCTTTGCTCTTTAATTTATCTCCTGGATTTTCTCCTCAACACAATGTCTGAACAGTTTCTAATTAGAAGGTTTTCAAGTTCATTTTCCTTCTGTTATCCAAGATCGGATACCCTGATATACTTATGGGCATTTTGTTTAATGGATATGCATTAGCATGATCATGGCAATTTATCATAATATTACATGTGTTTTTCTGGCTTGGAGATATGTTTAATGGCAGTTAGTCAGCTAGGGGTAGCTACAATTTCTTATTGGCATCTTGTTCTAATCTCCAGCACTTAATATTTGACTCCTTTATTGTTTGAGTGATTGACCCAAGTAATAACCATATGCTTGTCAATTTCAAAACAAGATTTGTTGCTTATGGTGGCTCAAAAGCCCTTAGATTCCTCGATTGGGTGACCTACTTTAAGTTTGTTTGTGCTTTTCGTTTGGTGGAACTTGCTTTTATAGAATTAACTCTTACTATAATGACAACAACAAACCTTGCACTTGTTTTGGTTGAAAGGTGTCTTTCTGTGTGATTATGCATTTGCATATTCTGGATGTCAACCATGATATTGCCGATGATGAGCTTAGGTTGCAAAACATAACAACAAATAACAATGTTTTTTTGTTTTGCTATTTTTCTCTAAGAACATGTGTCTTGTACTTGTTTGGTCCCCATTGTGCAAGGCAAAGCCTTTAATGAAATTATGTTCTCTGGTCCTTTAGAGATGTGCCTTGAGGTTCCCATGTTCTCTAGTCTTTTCTGTCATGGCTTTTCGCTGCCTCCATCCAATATTTTACCCCATGTTATGTGCAGACTCTTATTCCAATTACCTTGCCTTTTGTTTTTGTTTGTTTTTCCCTTATTTGCACGACAGTTTTACCATAGTCGTTGACTTCTTACTTTCTCCTAAGCACAGAGAATCTACTACATTTGTTTCTTCATTTTCAATATGCTTAAACTTTACAAATTTAGTTTTAAGGTTCATTCTGCCTCTAGTATAAAGAAAGCCTGATTCTTTACTTAGAGCTAAAAAAATTGGTTTAGAAATACTTGCAGAGGGTTTCTTTGGCAACTAGTCCATGTTGTAGCGCCTGGGCCCCTAAAGAACCTATAACTATCGAGTTGCATGGGGATGAATTTTGGCCACTGTCAGGGAAACCATATTTTCGTGCTATTATTGGGAAAGTGTATTTGCGAAGACCCTATCAATTGGTAATTGTTTCATTTAAATATATGCATTCCCAGTATCTGATTATGATGATATCTTATTTCTTTAAACATTTGTTTAAAGAGAAAATTGAACTTTAAGCTGGGCAAAGGAAGAAGTAACTGGAAAGGAGTTAGATGGAATACTAATTTTTAACTTAGATCAGAAAACAGAAAATGTAATCAGTTTTTATGTTTCCTGTCTCATTATTTAAATTGGCAACTGCTTGAAGATATAATGAGGATTTCTTTGATGAGCACTGTGCTGCCAGTCACTAAGATCTATGTACTAACAGTGTTGAATTTGGTTTTTATCCATGAGGTGGAAAGCAGGCAACGGTTCTCTGTAGCATATAGTATGGAGTTTCTGCATTTGTTAGAAATTGAGATCAGTTTGTGAAATTAAGTTACATAGAAAGTTCTGTTAGTTTTCGTCTCTGTATATCAGGTGCTTCCAGCTAAAATGCATCCAGCACTACCTTCTGGTGTAGTCCCCACATATCTCACTTATAAGGGCAAGGAGTGGAAGATGCTCTATCATAAAGGTCATACGAGTAGATATAATGGTGGATGGAAATCATTTGAGATCGACAACAATCTGAAGATTGGCAATGGTTGTGTCTTTGAACTCATGGAATGCAGCAAGGAGAGACTCAAATTCAGGGTTCAAATTCTCAGGGGTGACATCCCATCTGAATTGCCATGCAAGGTGAATGTTGAGAATGAAGACACTCGTATGGTTATTGAATAGGCCTCTAGCTTTACCATGGGTAGTTAAATCATCTGATGTTGTTAGTTGGTTGGGATCTTATACGGTTTAGGTACTTCCAGACAATTTGTTAAGAATGGCATTCTGTTGGCAACCAATATATTATCTAGCTTCTGGTTGTGTATGCTTGCTTAATGGAGCTTTATTTCAGATATTTGAGTTTCTGTGTTGCGTGTTCATATGAGAACAAAAGGTAGATAAAGATCACGTGGATGACCTACATGCATTATCCCTACAGAGTATTAGTTTTAACGTGACTTTAGTCTAAATTAAGTATGCCGTGTGAAGCCCAATTTTATAATTTTCCAAGGCAGGGTGGAAAATATTTTTGGGGAAACATTAAGATGATTTTGCGTACAAGACATAGCATGCTACAAAGTTGCATAGCCTAAAATTAATATCTTACAGAACTCATTTAAGGCATACCAGTTGTAAAATTTTATTTTTAAGGCAAAACTGGGCTTCAAATTGGTCAAAGGAAAAGAAATCATGCTTTGAGATTGTACTACTTAGTGATATTATTAGAAGGATTTGTTTGATGAGCACATTATATAGTCACAGTGTGTGCAACACCTGAAAAAGGTGGAATTCCGTTTCTAACAGTAAGGTGGAAAGCAGCAACGCTTTCACTTCATAGTCATGAGTAGAGAATTCCTGCATTTGCTAGAAATTAAGATGAGTTGTTTTCTAAATTACTATTGGTAAAAATTTTGGTGAGTTTTCATTTCTTGATTTTAGGTGATTCCAGCTAAAATGCTTCTACATATGCGAAGGGCAAGGAGTGCAAGATGCTTTACCATGGAGATGGAGACCCTTGGTACAAAGCCCATCACTATCTGCAAAGATTTAATTGACTTCTGAACTCACAGAATGCAGAAATCAGAAACTTAAATTCTCAGGGATGACATCATTTCTGAATTGCCATGTAAGATTCATGTTTGTAATTGGTACTTCTAAAAGATTCATATGTACTCTCTCTTGGTCATGAGTGTGTATATTTGTTCGTCCTCTCGGTCAGGAGTACGAGTCTTTGTTGACTTGCGTCTCGTTCTTTTTTTTTTTTTTTTAATCAGAACATGAAAAAATTTTCAGTTAAAGTTAACTGTGTCCAATATTGGTTACTTTCAAAGCGGTCATATGCCGGTCTCGTTCGCAGAAAAATCAGGGAACTTGAAACCAGGCCAACCAGGGAAATGCATCCCCAGGAAATGAATGTCTTCAGATAGCACTGCCTACCCATGCACACAATTGCGTCCCCAAACGTCTCTAGCAAGTGGCTCCTTCTTGCATTGGAATCATATACTGTAGCCTGCAAGAAAACCATAAAGGAGTGATCCTAGTGGGATGTTGGTGATCAGGATGTTGTGGTTTACCCCAGCACTGTTTGGCCCGAAGAGCTCAGACGTGATTGACACAGCTGCTGAAAACAAGAACCCGATCAGCTGCCACACTCCCTGACACAAGAAGCAAGGAAAAGGCAATTGGTGTTGGCACCAGAGCAGCTGCTAACCATACAGTCCTCGCAAAGTACACCTTTCTGCATTGGTAAATTTGCCAGCCTTTAGTTTTTTCCCTGTTTAATTAATAGTACTTGAAAGTGACCTCAATAATAGAAATTTTTGCAGTGAATATTAATCAAGGTCCATATGATATACAAAACCTGCAAGGACTATCAATCAATGCGAAAGTTAAAGCAGATTTGTTGGTCAGAATTCACTTGGCTATTATGAAGCATTCACTTGCAACAATGTCAGAATGCCTAAGCATATATCTTGTGTAAATACATACGCAGAAAATCCGGAACAGCAAAGAGCAAACGGCCAAAGAAAGAGCATGATGAACAGAGGATAACTAGTGAATTAAGCCTCGAAGAGTGACCGAGTGATTGTGCAATCTGCCCTAGATTATTGCTGTACACCAGCCCTATTGTCCTACCACAGAATATGCAATATAGTATAACCAGAAATCCCACCTAGAGAGGTTCAATCGAGCAGGGTGCTCTTCGCCTAGATTGGTGAAACTACCAATTTTCTGAAAACAGCTTAAACTACCTTCTTTCTCTTCCACCACATATGCATTGCCACCCAAGGAAGTACCATTTTCACCTTCAATGAGTTCTTTGAAAAGATCAAGGTCGTCGGTGTCAGCCAAGTTGAAGCCTGACTGATCAAGAGAAAAACTCGTTTGGATGGTTTGCGTAGCCCAGTCCTTAGCAGAAACAATCCCAGGCAAGCACAAGGGAAGTACTCGTTGAAGAATAGAACCCCCAAGAAGTATACGTGCCCTTGATACAATAGAAGATTGTGAATTCATGAGGAGATATAGGCCAGTGACAACAGCAAAAATGTCACGTCGATTGACACCTGTGGAGAGTTTCAGCAAAGGTGTTTGGCGGTGGATAGGAAGTAGTGCTACACAAGAAACAAATAGAGGGACAAGTGCATTTATTAGGAGATACGAGTGTCATCTGCGGGGTTTGTTGCATTGGCCATGAGAGTATAGAGAGCAGCACCAACACCGTTAAAACTGACAGTGAGAGATAAAGCAAGCGATCTGTTGGTTGGAAAGTTTCTAATGCATAAAACATAGGATACTGTATTGAACCAGCTGATGCTGCATCCGGCTATCAAGTAGAGAAAACATACCTGCCAGAACATAATGGAGCAGGAACACACAGAAAAAAAAAAAGAAAAAAAATCCCGTTGTTTTTGGTCAATCAATTCATAACTCCTTAATTCTCCATAAAAAGAAAGAAAATCACAAGTTCCTGATGTTTAGTAATTTATTGCACTAACAGTCACTGCTGCTACTAATAATAATTTGACACATTCATAAATATATATATATATATATATGGATGTAAATTAATGATGGACCTTTAGATTTATAGCATATAAGAGATTTCATTCTAATTCAATTCAACTCTATTTTATTAAGTAATTCAATTTTAAGAGGCTCTTAATTTCTCTTTGTGTTTATATCCATATAGAAGGAGAAGGATTGGATGTTGCACGCATACTAAATTAATTCTACCCCTCTAGATTTATACAGAAAGAGCTATTTCATTGTAACGTTAACTTCAACTCTTCATTATTATTAAGTAAGGCTGTGCTTATTTGAAGAAAAACAACTATTTTTCGATGTTTTTTTTTGTATTTAGAAAAAAAATCAATGAAAAATGATTTTTAGTCAACGAAAAATGATAGAGTATTTTTGAGAAAATGTTTTCCTAATTTTAAAGGAGAAAAACATTTTACTTCTCACAAATTGTCTCGCTTTTGGATTACTTAACTCTCTCGATATATTTTAACAAATTTTTTATTTATCTTCTTTTTATTTAAAATATATCAGATTAATTTTTAATTATTTCTTATCAATTATTATTAATTGTTTTATTATTTTTTCTCTATTTTTACTAATATTTGATTTTTTGATTTATAGATACATTAAATATTTTTAAAAATCATTTTTATAATAAATAGTTCAATGATTTATCTCTATTTTTTCACTATTATCTCAAAAATCACCTAAACTATACTTAAATGATTAGAAATGATTATTACAAGACTATAATTTTTTGTAAAAAAAATGAAATTAATTAATTCATCAATAAATACATTATTTTTCCAACACTATTCATTTGCAATTAAATCAATAATTTATAATTTTAATCAATTGTAAAATTTTGTTGGTAATTGTAGTGAATAATTAGTTACAAATTATTTCAACATTAATCTTTTGAGACTAAATGAATAATTATCTATAAATGACAACTAATAATTTATAAAATTATTTTTTAAACTTAATTATCATTTTAATTTCCAAAAAAAAAAAGAAGAAGAATTCTTAATTGAGTTACCAAAAATAATAATGCTAGGATTACTTAGAATCTTTTTTTACTTAATGTAAATATTGACTTGATTTTGTCCTAAGTAATTTTGATGAATTAATTTGATGGTTAAAAAAGTACATTTTATTTTTTGAATTAAAATTTTAGAGCTTGTATTTATGAAAATTTATTAATTTTTTTCTAAATGTATCTTATATTGTGAAATTATGAATGTCTTTTTGAAGTTTTCTTAAAACTCGTTGATATGAAAATCACATATGTTTTTGTATTTAATTTTTTGTATCAAAAAAACGTTAGAATATATTTTTCAGCAGTTTTTTTCTATAATTGCCAAACATCGGAAAATATGTTTTTGAAAAATAATTTTCTAGAAAATAGCTTCTTAAGGAATTGATTTTCCTATCGAACTTATTTTTCCCTAAACAAAACAGCCTAAGTTAATTGAAAAAACCCTATAAAAGTCCTCTTGCTTTTTTTCTGTTTATTTCTTACCAAAAGAGAGTTCGATACACTTATAAAAAAAAAAAAAATGAAAGATGAGTGAATAAGTCAAGTTGAGGATAGTTTTGAGTCGAGTAGCCTTTCTATTTAGTACAATGACATCTTATTTTGAACTTGAACTTAACGGGTAATCGCTATTCCCTACTAAACTCGGTTCGAATCTTTCTTTCAATTTCTGATGTAGCCCAGATTTGAGTGCTACAGGGAAGTACTTAAAAACGAAAGTAAATTTAAATAAAAGGAAACCCAGTGAATAGATTCATAATTGCCAAAGATGAACTACTGTTTCTCATCATGGTCCTCGTTTAAATTATTTGTTTAAAAGCTACAACTGTTTCAGATGATAGAAACTGTTACAATAGATACATCACTATCTGCTACCTACTTCCATTGGTGAATTTTCATTGCAAGAGATACACTTCGTAATTCATCAATTTTTCCCAAGGCGGGTCAGATGCAGTGCCAATCTGTAACTTTAAAAAAAAAAAATATTGGCATATTTACACTGACTAATCCTAAACCTACATCTAGCTCAGCAGGTCACTAATCATGAATGTTTTCTCTCCCACTTCCCTTCCCGTCTTCCATCTCGTTCTCTTCCCTCTCTCCGCTCCATTACTTGCCTAGACTTGCTCCCTCTAGATCCATGTCTTTGAGCAGACCCAAATCCAACAGATTGCCCATCAAATGCCGTTATTGAATCTGGATCCCCAACACTGCCAGTGTCACCAAAGTCCTTGCTTCCATCCAAACTTTCTTCATAACTGCTGCCACAATCATCTTGCCGGTCACGAGATTGAAGAATGGTTGGTGGCTGGCCTGAAAATGGTCGAGAGCCGGACAACACAACAGTTGGCATAGCCATGGATGAACTAGTGGTAGTATCAGGCTGCAAGCTGCCGGTATTTGTTCTTGCACTCCCTTCATTACTTGATCTTCCATTTTCCCTTTCTCGGTATCTATCCCGAGGTCGACTGCAGATAGAAAAGAAAATTTAAAAGAAAACACACAACAATCAAAATTATTGGCACTCAGGTTGCACCACACTATCATGTTGTTCTATAAATTTTTCATCTTTTAAATAAAAAGTTTATCAAAGTAAACATTTTGCAATATACGGTAGATTGAATAATAATGATTTGTTAGGAGTACTGAAGTTTCATTCTGTTGGTCAATCAAAATAAATTTGGAATAATAGAATCACAAAAAAGATAATCTTGACTGCTAAGGGGGAAATGATAATCTGTTACCATTGATCTTGATCTTGAGGGGGCCAGGGCCACCCGACTTTCTAAATCAATTAAAGCACAGAATCACTAGTCAACGAAGCCTAGAAGTTCGAGATCAATTGAAACCTACTTGCTTACCTTTCTACCAAAACCAATTCATCGATAATATCAATAAGGAACACTTCACATTAAACCAGAGGCTAGTCAATAAGTTAACAAACATGTAAAGGGGTTTCTCAGCACCCACCCAATGCATTACCTTGTTAGTCAATGAATAGGCGCTTACATGACAATGGTAATTTTAAAAAAAGGGGATTGGTATGGACAAAATACACTTTGGTACCCTGTAGTTTGGCACATATCACATAAAAAGGATTATGGTATTACAAATACTTTACTAGATATGTTCTACTCCCTTGGATATGCCATTGACTTAAAGTTGACAGCATACACCAAATATCACTTTCATTTTTCTTATAGGAGATCATCTCCTACATTTAATAGAGTTGAGATCCGCCTTTTTTCCTTTCTGGGCTTTGTAATATTAAATCCAACTAATCTAAAATAGCTGGAGATGGGAAGGAGAGAATAAGAGTGGGAAAGCAAATGCAAAAGGGAAAGCGTCACTAAAGATCCTCATAGTCCTGGTCAAAGCTGATTTCCTCGTTGAACAAACAGAAAGCTTTCCACATGGATGGTGGCAATAAGCTGTATCAAAAACCAAATGCCTAGTCCAGGAATAGGCCATGGATATTTGGATGACCAGCTATGAAGCTAGATGGCATATTATAAGGTTATGCCAATCCAATATAGATGACTTGCCCGGCAGCTGAAAGAACACCTGATCCCTAGATGTTTGGTGGCCAATGCACAATCTTTCTTTAAGTCGTCACTCTGATAAGAAGAGTTGTGAGAGGCTTTAATGGCTTATTAGATAGCTTCAGCTTTGTCAAATTAACCAAACCCCTTTAAGGACAGACTGATGCTAAGCTTCATATTTGTGGATTGCTCTGATGTCTCTTGTTGCTCTAATGAATATTAAGTAGACTAGGGTTCCAATGAAGAATGAGATTAACAGCAGCCTGGAGACCAGCATAGAAAAAGCAGGTTGGAAGTGGGGAAGTGGAAAATCAAAGTTGAAGTTAATGGTGTGACTCTGCAAGACAACTAGCTGGAGAAGTTCGGGATAAATTTCATTCAGAGAACCTGTCTATTTAATTTGCACCAAAAATTGTATGTGAAAGTGCATTTTGCCAGTGCAGTTACGTATAAAGGTACTGCCCATTGGTCATATTGCAAAATAGGGGGTTCTGACAATAATTTAGAAGCAAGTACACCAGTTCCACCAGTTCTAGTGGTGCCTCTTGATTCTTACAGGAAATGCAAGGTAGCCGTTGAAAGAGAACAATCTTGAATAGAGTAATTTACGGTGTAAATATGGAAAGTTTTTGTATGCTGCGTAAGTTGGGAAAATCTGTCTTTTCTGTACAGTTAATACTTCCTAAATAGGCTAGTCTCTTCAGTATATATGTAGGCTGTAATTCCTTATATTGTTCACAGCAATACAACTATTCTTTCTTCCATAATATTCTACATGGTATCAGAGCCAACTCGGTTCCTGTGAGAAGAAAAACAAAATACCCTAGCCGTTTAACCTATACACAGCCTCCTCATCCAACCTAGCCACAAATCAGCAGCCATAGCTCCACCATGTCTGAAATCGAATCCAACTCCATAGCCACCAATTCTTCTTCATCCAAAACACCTACTTCAACCAATCGGTAGAAAACTCCAGCCTTGGTTTCCTCTGAATCTCATTCAATCCAAATAACTACTATTCGGCTGTATGGAGATAATTTCCTACACTGGTCTCAATCTGTGGGCATGTATATTCGAGGAAGAGGGAAAATTGGCTACATTACTAGAGATAAGAAGGAACCTACCATTGATGATCCGACATACCCCACATGGGATGCCGAAAACTCTATGATAATGACATGATTGGTAAACTCCATGGAGGAAGACATTAGCTCCAACTCATGTGTTATTGGGACAACGTCAATCTTATGCATTCGGATTTGGGAAATCCGTCCCAAGTCCATGAAGATGTTAAAACTTGGAGATATCCATCAAGACGATGATAGTGCTACTAAATACTTCAATTCACTGAAATGCCTATGGCAAGATGTGGATTTATTCAATACTTATGAGTGAATCTTCTGACGATTCCAACTACTATAATAAGAAGGTTGAAGATGACCAGATCTTCAAGTTTCTTATTGGTTTGAATGTTGAATTTTGATGAAGTTAGAGAGAGAATAATTGGTAGGCAACCTTTTCCCTTTATTGGAGAAGTTTTTTCTGAAGTCCTTCATGAAGAGAGTCGCAGACTTGTCATGCTTGGCAAGAAGACTGGAACTAGCATTCTTGAGAATTCTGCTTTGGTCACAGGTGAAGTCCATGCTAGCACCCATGAGAAGACTCGTGTATGATGTGATCATTGTAATAAGCCAAGACACACCCATGAAACTTTATGGTAAAACGACTAATTGGAAGGGCAAGCATAAGGGGAAGTTTAACCAACAAAGGGCCGAATGAATGTTCCCACTACACATTAAGCTGAAGCTATCCTATTGGGTTCTCGGCAAAGAATCATATTCTCAAGCTGCTAAAATCTAATACTGTATTATTGCGTACTCCTAATGCTTCTCTTGCACAAACAAGTGGTGATTTAAATGCCTTTGTTTGTTATTCTCTTTCGCAATCCGCTCCTTGGATAATAGATTCAGGTGCATCTGACCATATGACTAGTTTTTTCAATTTATTTCACACATATAATCCTTGTTATGGACAAGAAAAAATTTGTATCTTAAATTTGTTTTTCATGTACCTAAAGTTGCTTGTAATCTTTGGATAATCTTCTATCTGTTAGCCAAATATCCAAAGATTCTGATTGTCGTATTACTTTCTTTGATTTCCATTGTGTTTTCCAAGACAAGAATTCGGTGAGTAAGTTGGCAATGCTACGATGATAAATGGTCTCTACTACTTTGAAGATGAAGATTCCAAGAATAAAATACCTCAGGGGTTAAGTAGTGTTAGTTCTACCCCTATTAAGGATAAAATAATGCACTATAAATTACGACATCCTAGTTTTTCATATCTTAAGAAATTGTTTCCTCCTTCATTTCTTGGAATAGATAGTTCCAATTTTCATTCTGAACATTGCATTTTATTAAAAAGTCATAAAAATACTTATTATTCAAAACCATATCAGCCTTCTGGGCCTTTTTACCTAATTCGTAGTGATGTTTGGAGGCCTTCAAGAATTCAAACTTTTTCAAAAAAAAAAAAAAAAAGATTTGTGACGTTTATTGATCATCATATACTCCATTATGTTGAGTACATTTAATGAATGATAGATTTGAAGTTCAGACTTTATTCAAAAGATTTTATGCAATCGTTAAAACACAATTTCAAACAAAAATTGAAAATTTTCAGACGGATAATGGCACTGAATCGGCAGCTTTTTCAAAGAAAAGGTATTCAACATCAATTTACTTGTGTTGATACACCACAGCAAGATGGTATTGCTGAAAGAAAAAATAAATATTTACTAGATGCATATTCTTATATATCTCTGAGGTGAAGCTATTTTAACCACATATTTAATTAACAAGATGCCTACTCGTGTTTTGAATTACATTACACCCTTAGAATGTTTCAAACATTGTTTTCCTGATACTCAGATTTTTTCACTTACCTCTTAAAGTTTTTGGTTGCACAACTTATGTTTTTTATTCCTCGAAAGGATCGGTCCAAACTTGATCCTCATGCTGAAAAATATGTTTTTCTTAGTTATGCAGCAAATAAGAAACGATATAAATGCTTTAATCCATGAATTCGCAAAATTGTTGTTACTATAAATGTTGTGTTTCTTGAAAATCAGCTCTATTTTCGAAATAATTTTCTTTAGGATGAGAAACTAGATGAAGAAAATAGTTGGGATATTCAGTATATTTTACCCAAAGTCGTACCTCCTAATCCTATTATGCCAAGTATGGAGGAATATTTGACAAGAGGAGAAACACTACCAAATAATTCTAAGTAATATAAGCATGAGGTTATTGTATATACAAGGAAGAAAAGTCATGAAAAGGGTAGAGATTCATCTATACCCGAAGCACCACCAAGCCAATCTAATGCTCTGAATTCAGGTAATGTTGATTCTCCTCAACTTTCATCTCCTTCTATTCCTAATAATTCTATTGAAACAGAATATAATGATCTAGATATACCTATAGCCATTAGGAAAGGAACTCATTCTTGTACTAATCATCCAATTGCAAAGTATCTGTCATATGATAGGCTCTCTTACAAATATAAGACATTTATATCGAAAAATTCTAACTTGTTTATCCCGAGAAACGTTCAAGCACTTGATGATCCAAAGTGAAAATTAGCAATTATTTAGGAGATTGATGCACTAAAGAAGAATGGGACCTGGGAGGTTGTGGCATACAAAAAATAAAAAAACAGTACGGTGTAAATAGGTGTAAAATACAAGACGGATGGAAGTGTAGAAAGATATGAGCAAGACTTGTAGCTAAGGAGTTTACTAAAACTTATGGTATTGATTACCAAGAAACTTTTGATCCAGTAGCAAAAATTAACTCCATTCGTGTGTTATTGTCCCTTGCAATCAATTTTAACTGGAGTCTATAACAACTAGATGTGAAGAATGCTTTTTTGAATGGTGACTTAGAAGAAGAAGCATTCATATGCCCTCCTCCAGATTTTGAAAGTATCGTTAGCTGAAATAAAGTGTGCAAACTTAAGAAGTGTTTGTATGGTCTTAAACAGTCTTCCAGAGCCTGGTTTGAATAGTTTGGGCAAACAGTAAAAGGCTATGGATATCGCCAAAGTCAAGCTCATCATACCATGTTTTATAAACATTCTGATAAGGGCACGGTTGTAATTTTAATAGTATATGTAGATGATCTGATTTTGACAGGTGATGATCTTGATGAATTATCAATGCTAAAGAAAAGATTAGCGGAATAATTAGAAATTAAAGACCTAGGAGTGTTGAAATACTTTCTAGGCATGGAGTTTGCAAGATTAAGAGAAAGTATACTTGTAAATCCAAGAAAATATATTCTTGATTTAGTGTGTGAAACCAATCTTTTGGGATGTAAAGCAGCCGAGACTGCAATTGAAGCTAATTTGAAGCTAAATTCAACAACTGCTGAAAATGTGATTGAAAGGGAAAAATTTCTATGTCTAGTAGGTAAGCTTATTTACTTATCACACACCCATCCTGATATTGCATTAGCTGTGAGCATGATAAGTCAACTTATGCATGCTCTGGGCAAAGAACACTTGATGTTGCATATGGAATACTAAGGTAGCTTAAAGGGACACCTAACAAAGGATTGATGTTTAGAAAGTATGGTAATGTTCAAATAGAAGTTTGCACTGATGCTGATTAGGCAGGAAGCATTACTGACTGGTGATCCACATCAGGTTATTACACTTTGTTGGTTGAAATTTAGTCACGTGGCGAAATGAAAAGCAAAGTGTTGTAGTATGGAGTACTGCTGAAGCCAAAATTAGGTCTCTTGCGCATGGCATTTGTGAGATAATATGGATTAAGAGATTACTAGAAGATTTGTAGCTCTCAGTATAACTTCCAATGAAAGTGTATTGTGATAATACAGCTGCGATTTCGATTGCTCATAATCCAGTTCTTCATGATAGGACTAAGCATATCGAAGTTGACAGATATTTTATCAAAGAAAAACTTAGAGAATGGTTTAACCTGTGTTCCTTACATACCTACAAATCAACAAGTAGCTGATATTCTTACCAAAGGATTGCCTAAAACTCAGTTTGATTCTCTTCTAAGCAAGCTGGCCATGGAAGACATTTACAAACCAGCTTGAGGGGGAGTGTTGAAAGGGAATAATCTAGAACAGAGTAATCTATGGTGTAAATATAGGAAGTTTTTTGTATGTTACGTAAGTTAGGGAAATCTGTTTTTTTTTTGTACAGCTAATACATCCTAAATAGGCTAGTCTCTTTGCTATATATGTAGGCTGTAATTCCTTGTATTATTCACGACAATACAACTATTCTTTCTTCCATAATATTCTAGAGTAGCAGAGGACCAGGAAGCTCTACAAGAACTATGATTTTGGTCCATGTTCTTTTACTTCTCCATCTTCCTTTTTTTCTTTAATCCCTTGCTCCATTAGAGTCAAAGATATGAAAATGTATGTGTTGTTTCCCTTAAATTGCATCATTGTGTCTTTTCCATTTTTCTTTTTGAGGGGATCATTGATGATTGTCATCACTAACACTAGCTGGTCCTTCTAATACTTCTTTCTAGAGCAAACTCAGCTATGGCTTTCAGATCACTCCCGAGTAGACCAGATTTGCATTCTAGCATACTGTAAGCTTTTGGATGTATCCTCTATCAACCATCCCAAGATTGAAAAATCAACATGGTTGACCTAGCAAACCTCACTAAGCATTAACAAATGGTGTATGAAACATACCTGCTGTGGGTGGATGAAGGAAAGTCACGCCTTGATGATCGTAGTCCAGATTCAGCCTGCTCCAGTTCACGCTGAAGTTCTCTCTGCATGCAAATATACTTTTGTTATTTGCTTGTACTTATGATATGACTTATACATATCATTTTGTAAAGCATTACAGGCCAGAAAATCTTTAAAAATGTCACAATGGAAGTTGAAACAGTGACTCATTAGCATACAATCAATCTTGTAAAGGGCAAATCAAACCAAAGTAAAAATTGGGTGCATTGGCAAACCATCACACACACACAGGGACAGGGAAGACTTCAGTAAACCATCCCCCCATCCCTCACCATGTACACACGGACAGGGAACACATTATAGATCCCAATACTCATTGAACCTCTGCATTATGCCATACCCGAAAAACAGAAAAAGAAAAGGGAAATTAGACTCCAGAGCAACAAATATTCTGTCCAAAGGAGTTCACAAATTTGGGTTGAGCTAATTCTAGACTTGTGTTTAATTAAATCTCTATTCAGGGAAAGACTTGAGACTTAGGAAGGGTCTTGCCTGTGTTTGCCTCTCCTTCTCCATGTCAAGATTGTATCGGAGCTCCCTAGTTTTTGCACGCTCAAGTTCCAGCAACCGCTGTCTCTCAATCTCCTTTTCTGCTTCAGCTGCCTTCTCCCTGAAAATACATTGAATGCCAGCTGTTAGTGACTATTCTCTCTCAAAGTCCTCTCCATCGAATTGATCCAATTTATGAATATATGTAAAACCTGTCAAGTTCACGCAGAAGTTCCTCTTCTTGTAAAGCAGCCTCTTCTAGATATTTCTGACGAGCACGTCTCATGAGAAGCTTCTTTTGCCTGCGGGCCACTATGTCTTCTTGAAGCTTGGACTTTTCTCTGATGAACCAGATCAGCACATAACATTATGGGAGTTTGTTACTTGTTCAGTAATAGGGCTACAGCACTTATTGAGGAACACAAAAGATGTCAAATTCAGCAACTCAATACTAATATTTGAAAATACACAGGATTTTATACTTTGTGAAAAAACACAATAGAAGGTAGAAACCATTTCAAGACGTGTATATTTTGCACAGTTTAGAAAAGTAGAGCAAAATGTCCATCTTCATGGTATTCACCAGACAATGTTCTTGCAGGTTTATTAGCCAACTCTGGCTGAAACTGAAACACCATAAACAGAAATCATGATTTATAAGCCAGTTAACAGCATCTTATAAAACTACTTCTTTTACTTTGTCTTATAAACTTCTTGAATGGCCGATGTTGCAAAGGCTATACAGCATTATACTGAATCCATGTAAAAATAAAATGAACATCACAAACAGGATATGAATTAATTATCCAGCCAACAAATGCCAATTATGCTGTTTGCAGGTATTTCGCATTACAGTTGTTACTATTTTCAATGAATTTCAATTGTCCCAAACTATAGCAGAAAGTAAAACATAGTGCATACAGGGAGCGAATGCGATCCTTGATTCCTTGAAGACGGTTATCATCATTCACAGAAGCTGCACAACAAAAAGTTGAAAGACTACTAAATAACAGCAGTAAAAAGAAATCATTCAAGGAGTAGAATTTCATTTTTTAAGCAACTAATAAGAAATATAATGACTGTAAGGGGTAATAATCATCACCAGTTATCCAAGGAATATGCCTTTCCTCGTTAAAATCTTTTGATGATTCTTGAACTTCATGTCCTTTTTGAAGAATGTCCAATTCTATTTCAGCCTCTTCCAGTGCCTACAAAATATTCACATTAAATAAGTCCATCTAATCAGTTGGGATGTAAAAAAGCAATATAAGATAATGGTTGAACATGTTTACCATTGCCTCTTGGTCAATTTTCTTTGAGAACATATCAAAACACGATTGAACTGAAGTTAAGTTGGCAAGGACCTGAATAAATTGACAAATAAATAATTAGCACGTAAAAAATTGAGGAACAGTTAAGCCAGGCTGCTAGGCGAGCAAAAATACTAAGTGATAATTAACATGGTTATTTATTATCAGAAGTTCTGAATTAATCAAGTGCTTGTTCAAGACAGGACCTTAGACATGCTACTTCAACCTAAATGAAGATTGAGTTTCAACATACTTCTCCAGTGCAAAGGGCTAAACTCAGCTACCATAATCAACAATTTTTCTTACCTGAAGAATTGATTCACGGGTGCTCCCAAAATCTGGGTCGACTTGTCTTAAGGAATTTGTAGAGAGCACCTCTTTCAGGACCTTGCAAAAGAAATGCAGTTCAATAAATCATCAAACTGCTAACAGTAAATGCTAAATTCAGTCTTAAAGAGGAAATTTGTAAGACCAGTCAATATCCTAGAAAACACTTTGGTTATATTCTGCCTTTCTCCATAAGAGCTTTCAATATGTTTATAGACCAGTCAGCAAATTTTCCATGCCTGAACCAAATTCCAGAACAAACCTCTTTTGCCTCATCCCCTTCATTTCTCAATCTACACAAGACTTCACAAGCATTTTTCTCCAAGTCACCAAGCTTGCCTTCCACGAAATAAGGGGAACCAGAAAGAAGAAAAGAAGTTAAATTAGTGACAGGCATTTCATTTGTCACATTTCTATTATACTAGATAAAACAGCAAAGAGACATACCAGTTCTTGACAATCCTATGGTCTCAATATTCCTCCAGATATCTTGAGATATCAAGGAAATGTCTTCAGGAGGAGAGTACAGGCAGGCACAAGCAATAAGTGCCAAGGAAAGCCGCAATAGTGGACCTTCACATGTTGGATATGTAATTTTTCCCAGAACATGGAGAACGCTATCAGCTGCAGCAAGAAAAGATTGTAACTGCTGCCTACCAGCATATGGAATATAAGCTACAAGAAGTGCCATAGCACGAGTCTTTAAAGGTAATAGAGTATCAGATGATGCCAACAAAACCACCTGATCCCATGTACTCGACACCACAAGGGACAGAAATGACTCGGGAACTGAAAGAACTAGGCCTGGTGAAAGTAATGAATAGCTAGTTGTATTAGACTGTAAAACTGCTTCTCCTCGCATGTCTTGGCCAACCAATCTACCCAAATGCTGAAGAACAACAAAACGCTGCTCAGGCTCAGGATGACCCAGCAGTGTAACAAACAGATCAGCAAGAGGCCCATCACTATCATGGAGGCTATGGAAACCTCTTGCAAACAGCGTTGACAACCATTTATCGGATCGCAGGCGCCAAGATATTTTTGGAGCACAGCAAGAAAAATTTTTTATTACCAAACATATGGAATTGATAACACTATCCAGCGGAAAACAACAAGGTACTCCAAGTAGACAATCAAGCATGAGAGAAGCAACTTCCCAGCAATGGCTTTCTTGGAGCTTCATAATGATTTCAGCAAGTGACTCTAGTCCAACACTCCAATGAACTGGAAACTGGTCAACTGGCTTGAATGCATAAGAACTTTCACTGTCATTCTCCTCAGAATTTTGAACTTGGGGCACAATTGAAGATAAGCATCTTGAGTACATAAAACACTGAGCTGATGTGATAGTCAGCTTCTTTGCCAGCCGATGATGTAGATTCCAGCAGAGCTCAATAGTTGGATTAAGCTTCGCAATGAGATCCTCTAAGTCATTAGAAAAGTCTTCTATTTCCTCGACAGGTAAATTACAATCCTTCTGCTTTGAGGCTATATCATAAAAAATATCACTTTTCAGCTCCTCAGAAATCTTAGGTGGACTAGAGCTATGGAAGACATCACTGAGAAACCACGAATGCATCTCTGTGCTACTATCACAAGCTGTTCCTGTGCTACTATCAGAAACATGGGGCCACTGCAATTGGAGAATACCAAAGGCTCTTGAAGCCTTGACTAATAAAACCTTGCAGCTTTCCAAAACAGTCTGAAATGCACATAGGTAGTCATGGAAAGAAGTGGTTGGTTCAAAAGCAGCAAAATCTGCCCACAATGTTAAGGACTGTAATATTTCTCTTCTACGTTGAACAGACAAATCACCAAATACAGAAGCCAGGATGAATATTGTCAATGCTCTGCTGTAGTCCTTTCCAACAGTTACATCTGGACTCTCATTTTTCTGTCTAATATCAAGAAAAAGCTCCTCAAAGCACAGTGATTCAAAATTAAGACATGAATCATCAACTATTTTTTTTCCTCAGCAGATACCTTGCATAATGAATATGAAATGATAGGCTTCAACAGATGCATTATCGAATCAAGAAATGACACGTCGCAATACGAGGCTCTACAAAGGGATACCAGCACTTGCACCACCCGAGGTATCTCTGGCACCATTGCTTCCATGTGCTCAATTACAATGGCTTCTAAAATGTAAAGTATGATTGCCTTGGCATTCTTTCCAACATAACCTTTCAAATGAGCATAACTATTTTGAGTTGTAATTTGGCTCTTTTGAAAAAATGGCCAAGAGCATAAATCAGAAAACCAGCACAATATATCGGGCACAACATTGGAAGAAAGAGATCTCAACTGCAATCCAACAGCCTCCAAAATGTTCTCCCCAAAAGATTCAAAATGCTTTCTTAAATTTGGAAAGAACTTACTGAGATCAGGATAGATGACATCAAAAGATCGATCTCCATTTTGCTCAGCAGCTTCAGACCTTTTGGGAAACGGCATATCTTGTTTAATTCCTGATTGTTCAATCTTCTCATCTTCATATTTTTGGTCAATGACATTATCTATTACTGCAAGCTCATCAGCAAATATAGATAGTAAATGGGTAAGTTGTGACAGATCTGAAGCAAGGAAGAGCCGCTCAGTTATAAACTGCTTTGCATTTCGAGATATAGCCATCCAACCAAGAAACCTAACAAGAGGAGAAGCACTGCAAGAAAATGAAGATATTCTCTGCATCCAGGCTGATGGAGAAATTAAGTTTCCACACCGAAACCCATTATTGATATTAACCACAAAATCTGAGCCTTCACCACCACTTGAAGCAATTACCAGCCTTTGAAGCAGCATCCAACGCCTTTGTACCCCATGTATCTTTTCTGGATCCAACCGCAGATTGCCTTCTTTTAACTGATAATAGAAAGAGGTTAGCATTCCATTAAGATGCTCAGCAGCTTCTAATATGAAATCAATCACTTCTTCAGGAGCACAGTACAGTTGTGTGGCAGAGTGCAACAAAAAGACAAGACAATGCATAAGAATTTCATGCATGGAGTGTTGTTCTTTCTTCAGTCGCTGAATCAGAAAACTGCACAGTAAAGCTTGATTTTGTCGAACCAAGGTAATTGCATCAGTAGACTGTACATCAAGGGGAGACAACTTTACGACTTGTTCGGCAATTCCTTCAGGGTAGTAATCTGATGTCCTCTGAAATTTCCTGTCTAGTTCAGCAGCCTCAAGCAGTAGTTGAAGGACAATTTTGTCCCTTTTCTTTTCAAGAAAAGCTACTGTTTCCAAGTCACAACTATTCTTTTCAGAAGCATTCTGCAGCTCTGAAATTTCGTCATTTTTCACTTTTTTATTGTCACCAATGTTAATGGGAATTAACTTTGGACTGGATCTGAAAGACATCATAAAAAAGGGATTGACATAGCATTCTGCTGCCAGAAGCAAAGCATCAATAGCCGCATCATGACCTTCAACAGCAATCTCGGACTCTGAGTGTAGGTCCAAAGCCAAACGCTGAAATTCAGAGGCCCTAAGCTCGCAATCACGGTGGTTTACAAGTTGAAAATAGTCTGCTTGCAAGTTCAAGTATTCTGCAACAAAACCACAATCTAATACTAAGCCATTCTGCAACCAGCCAACATAATTTTTATCGACATGGATTAGTTCTGATTTGGCATCCTTATGGTTGGAATCCAAAATATGTTCATTGGGACTGCTTGAAACATTTGCCAGTACTATGGTCTGCAGCTCTGGAGGTGCAAAAAGAAGACTGACATCTTCAAATATATCCATCTTTGCATTTGTATCAGAAGCATCCACCTCATCTTGGTTATTTGATTTTGAAGAAGCTCCTCCATGGAGAATCAGCGAAGCATGAGAGGCGGCAGTTGCAGCTTCATGCTCAATGCTTTTAGAAACAGGAGATTTGCAAAGATCAATTTCAGGAGGTAATTGCATATGAGGTTCCAATATCGAGAGAAGCACACTGCAAAAAAAAGTATGAATCCATTATTAATCCAATATAGCAGAAGAGCACATCATCTGGTGTCTTAATTCAAAAAAGAAAAAGAAACAAGAAAGTGATTCAATATTTTGAATGCATATTGGTGAAATTTGAACTTGTTGATAGTTGTTGATCTATTACTTATCACATGTTATATAAAGTTAAAATATCTGCATGATCTTTCTATCAATTTTATTTTTGATGTTTTTCAAGAAAAGCAAAAACAGCTTGGTAGTAATTGAGAATAAGATTCTATCACCATCATGATGCAGGTATCTAATACCTAGGAGCAACTGATCCACGTCTCCATTCAGACTCTAAAGAAGGAAGAACAGCAGGCTTTTGCACTGCTGTGCGGATGACATTGAGGGCAGTTACACAAGTCTGCTCCTGCTTTTCCAGAAAACTGAAAGAAACATCTCCAAAAGCTATTGTGCTCCTCAGTGCATAAATGGCAGGATCGAGAAAAGGCTCTAGCATCTCCAAAAGAAAGAGAATTTTGTGCTTCACTTCCTGCAAGTTGCATGATAAGATGATAAGAACACCTTTCTTTTCTTTAGGGATGGGAGTAGTTAAGTTAAAATTTATTTTCCCTCTTCCAGTTCTCTCGCCCTACTTTATTTGAGATGGGCAGAGGACACATCCCACTCTATCAATAACAAGAAAAAAGTAGCTATCACTACCACACTAGAATAGTTAGGCAAAAGGTTTACACCATTCAACAGTCAAACCCTCCACAACAATTGGTATCATATAGACTGCAAAATCAAAGAACTCTAATCATTCATATTCAAAGCACTCAAATATAATCATTGTTCAAAAGTCTCTTTGTCAAAGATTTTGGGACACTAAGATCCACAAAAGTATATACCAAACTGATGGAGTAGCTATGTTATACTTGGAGAAAGACACTCCACTTTGGAAACCTAAAGCTACATTAAGTGATTCTTCATCAAACAAGAAGTCTTTTTGGTTAAAAAAAATAAGTGTCCTTGGTAGATTTCTTTGTTTGGGGTTTACAGTCTTGAGTTATGAGTTATTTTGTAAGCAAGGGCAGAATTGTAATTTCCGCATGTTCTGCAAATCATGGGTATTTTAGTAATTTCCAGAATTACTTGAAGGTCAGGACTTACTTAGGAATTTAGTGTCTGAGGACAGAATTGTAATTTCTGCATGTTCTGCAAATCATGGGTATCTTAGTAATTTCCAGAATTACATGAAGGTCAGCACTTAAGGAATCTACTTGAAGGTCAGGACTTACTTCGGATTTAGTGTCTTAGGCTTTAATAGTTTATTCCTGTTTAGTTTATTTCCTAGTCAAGCAAGGATTAGTTATCCTAGTCCTTTACTTTAAATTGAGTTTGAGTTATTTTGAAGGCTAAGTGCCAAGATTTCTTCTTTGTTCTCTAGTTCTTCTATTTTCTCTTCTTTCTTGTATGCTTATTCTCCTGCTACAGTGCTGGGAATTACTGTTCAGAGCGTAATTTCTTCTTATTTCTTCCCAAACAAGCTCCACTCTACCGTAATTTCACAAACAATAAACCCAAGCTCACCTCAAATCCTTTGTAGAACAGAGACTCAAATCTGTCCAACATAAGTTGGTATCAGAGCAGGTCAGATCCTTCCTCTCTCTTTTCTGCATTTCTTCTCAAACTATTTTCTTCTCTCACAACGGTGAGCAACACTGGACTTTCTTCACAGTTTGAGTGTTTTTCAAAGAATTTTGGGATGTTTCAGAAAGAATTCAAAGAATACAAACAGAAGGTTGCATCAATGGAATCTACACTGGATACGATTCCATCAATGGAATCAACCTTGGATGAGATAATGATTGCGCCAAAGAATCTAATAACTAGTGACAAGAGGAAAAATCTTGCTGAAACTGCACCTAGTCAAGCTGTTGACCATCTGAATTTGTCCTCTATTTCAGCTGCCATGCAGCCACGTGTTGCATCTACAAGTTCTCCTTTAAATTTTCATGGAGCTAGCCTCAACCTGCCAGTGCCTAATCAAATACAGCCAGTAGTAGGCTCATCAATGCAATTTTTAGCACAAAAGATAGAAACTCATCCTTCTTTTCCTCCTCAAACTTGATATCAAGAAAATGTAAGGATGAATGATATAAATAAAGGTATTTAGCCTGATGTTAGTGATTTTCATGGAAAGAGTAATCCAGATGTATTTCTTGATTGGTTACATGGTTTGGAAAGTCTCTTTAAGTGGTATCACTTGGGTGATGAGCGAGAATTTTATTTTATGGAAGCTAAGCTAAAAGGGACAGTGATGCGGGACAGCTTAGCGGCTGTTCGTGATCTGATTTTTGGAGGCTGTTTAGGGGTGTTAAGGGTTGTATTGATGTAGGTTTATGCTGGAATATGAGGAAGTATGTGGGTAGAATTCCAGGAGTCACACCTAGAGGATAGAAAAACCTAAGCTTCACACCTAGGGTTCTGAGGAGTCACAGCTGAGGGAGATTGAGTCACACAATCAAAAGCAAATTGCTGGAAATTATTTGATATCATTGCATCCTGAATATTGAAAGACTACACTCTGTATTTATAGAGTTGTAGAAGTCCAAATCCAATTAGGATAAGGATTCCTAAACCTCCAACATAACTATTCCTATTTAGACTAGGAAAACCTATAACTATTCCTATTTTAGAATAGGAAAACTTAATAATTTTAGAACTAATAAAATACTTAAACAGAAATGCTATAATTTCAGATTTTCTGGCAGATCTGAAATCACTAAAATACCCTTATCAATTATTCAAGTTTTGCTTCCTTTGTTGTCCGCATCAGACAGCAAGAGTTTGGTGGGAAAAATTTCAGCAAAGTCATTATGCTACCCTTAGAACTTGGGAAGATATGAAGATTGCTATGACTGGTTATTTTGTACCACCCAATTACAAGCAACGAGTTCACATGCAATTATGCAATGGACACAAGGAAGTTTAAGCGTCAATGAGTACACTAACAAATTTTTCAGCTTAGCAACAAGGTCAGAATTTCCATGGAATGAAGATGTCATGATATCTATGCATCTGCAAGGGCTGAATTTACAAATTTCTTCTGGTTTAGCTACTTGTGGGCTTTATACAATGGCTGATGCAGTTCAAGTTGCTGCTCAGATCGAGGAAGAACCTAAAAAGAACACTTCTATGAGATTATGGTAAGAATGAAAGGCCAGCTATTAACTTTAGCAAGGAACATTCTGTCGATAATTCTAAAAAAATTTCCCATTCTGTTAATAAGTCCACTCATCCTAATCCTTCCTATTCATCTCAAGGAAGTACTGGTTCCAATTCCAAGGGAAAGAAAGATGGTATTTGTTCCAAATGTATGGGTGTCAGTCACTGTTCTTTTGAATGCCCTAATAAGATCCTTTCACTTACTTATAAAGGACAAGCCTTAGAAGCTGTAAACGAGGAAACAAGGAAGAAGTTGAAGAAGTTGTTTGTGAAGCTGAGATGGATATGGATGAGCATCAACTGTTGGAAACTGGATCCCATTGTTTAGTTCTTCAACCTATGCTTTTGGCTCACGAGGTTGTTGAAGAAGTTGATGATTGGAGACATACTTCTATATTCAACACTTGAGTTCAATGCAATGGGCAGTTGTGCACTATGATTATAGATTCAGGTAGTTGTGCAAACATCGGATCTGAAAAGGCTGTCAAGAAGTTAGGTTTTAAGACAGAACCTCACCCTTAACCATATAAAGTCACTTGGGTGAATAATACAAATCTGACAATTGAGGAAAGATGTTTAGTTACTTATAAACTTGGTGAGTTGGTTGATGAAGTGCAATGTGATGTCCTTCCTCTAAAGGTTTGCCATATCCTTTAAGTCGTCCATGGTTATTTGATAGAAAGGTGCAGCATGATGCCTTCGAAAATACATATTCCTTCTTGTTGAATCAAAAGAAATTTAAGCTCATGCCACAAAGGGATCTGTTGCTGACAAAGTTGAAGAAGCCTTCCAAGTTATTCGTGACCGAGCATGATGATTCTATTGGTGATGGATTGCTAGGTCGTGCTCCAAACTCAACAGAGTTGAGTTTTTCGAAGAGGGGGAGAATTGATCGAGTAGCTATGTTATACTTAGAGAAACACTCTCCACTTTGGAAACCTTAAGCCACATTAAGTTATTCTTCATCAAACAAGAAGTCTCCTTGGTCAAAAAATAAGTGTCCTTGGTAGATTTCTTTGTTTGGGGTTTACAGTCTTGAGTTATGGCTTATTTTGTAAGCAAGGTTCTGCAAAATCATGAGTAAATTCAAGAATTACTTGAAGGTCTGGGCTTATTTAGGAATTTAGTGTCTTAGTCTTTAATAGTTTATTCCTGTTTAGTTTATTTCCTATTCAAGTAAGGACTAGTAATCCTAGTCTTTTATGGAATCTTAATCGCTATAAATAGAGATGCTACTATGTTTTAATTTTCAGCAGAGTTGAGTTATGCAATAAATTGAGTTTTAGCATTATTTTGAAGGCTTGGTGCCAAGATTTCTTCTTTGTTCTCTTGTTTTTCTACTTTTTCCTATTTTCTCTTACTTATTTTCTTATTCTGCTGGTACAGTGCTGGGAATTACTGTTCACATCCTAATTTCTCCTTATTTCTTCCTAAACAAGCTCTATTCTGCGCTAATTTCACAAACAATAAACCCTAGCTCACCTCAAATCCTTTGTAGAACAGAGACCTCAAATCTGTCCTACATCACAAACAAGTAACACAAAACCACTGAAACGTGACAGTGTACCTTATACTTCCCTAGTATATCATCCATGTGCCCAGAAAGAGCCAGCACAATATATTTGATGGCAGCACGGGCTCGAACCAAGGAATGACGAGCACCCTGAAAAGCGTAATGAAACAGACCTAAAACCTTCAATATACATGTAGAAGCAAATTATGAAATAACTAAAAGAATAACTATGTAGCACGTTAGCAATTTCCAGTACAAAATCTTAAATGTCTCACAAATTTAGTTCTGCATAAAGCAATGCACAAACATGAGTGGATACCATGAACATCTTGATCCATAGTAGAAAATGCAACTATACTATAAAATATGATAAATCTATAGCGTTATCTAACAACAATCAACTTGATTAGGATTGCAAACCTCCCAAACATTATCTGGTATTCTGGTTAATAAAGATGTTAAAACATTGCTTTAACAGCATATCTGGTAAAGATATCTTGATTTGGAAAGAAAACTGTTATTAAGTTCTAAAAGTCCATCATATTGATCAACTGGACTCAAATATTTTACTTCCGAAGGAATATAGCAGTGAAAGTTAATGCGCATAACTATGTTTTCTCTGTGCTCAACAAATTGCCTCAACACAATAGTGCAAAGAGGGATGCACACACCTGAATTGTGCCCAGAAGGTCCTCTAGAAGCTCTACAGCTAGGTCAACCTGTATCATTATCAATTCAAATCAGGATATCAGGAACAAAAGATAAGCATGCAAAATAAGAAATCAAAGACCAAACTGTAGACTACAGGTGCAACACCAACCTTTGCAATGACCTGAGCCATCCAAGGAGCTAGGACACCCGAACACAGATCAATTAGAATGCATGCAGCCTTAGCCTGCAGAAGAAGCAAACCTTATGGTGGTTGGTTCCTATGAAAGCAAATCAAATTTCGAGGAAAGAGAGGATGATAAGTACTTCTTAAAGCAATTTTGCCAATACAAAAGGACAATCGTGATCGATATAGCCCACACCAGTAAATTCTTATAGTCCCATTTAATGACTTGAACCATCAACACCAGAAAAATTGTGTTTGGGATTGAGAGAGAGTTGGAAAAGTTTGGAGCCAAGACATACATTTTCAGTTTTTAATGACTTCCAAAACCACGAATTTAGAATTCAGCAAACAATCAAAACATGGTCTTGGAAAATTTACAATTTGTGGCTTTCTAAAAACCAAACCAAAACACAGTATATTTGTTGCCTAGAATGTTTAAAAAAAAAAACTTTCAGATTTGCATCTGAATGGCCAAATTATGCATAGACGTAACCACTTTATTATTCCAATTCCACCAATTAATCACACCTCTGTTTATGTAAGCTTGGTGAGAAACTGAAACCAAAAGTGCAGCATGTATGTAACCTTAAATTTTAATAGAAAGGTAAAAATGCCCTTTCAGATTTTCCATCTAAACGGCCAAATTATGTACAGAACCACCTCTTAATTCCAGTTTTGACATTCAGTCACATTCTGTTTATGTGTAAGCTTGATGAAACAGAGAACTTATAGGCTATCTTCTCTCTCAGTTAAATCAAAACAAAACACTGCCACATTTTGGAGAAAAGAGGTCACATGCAATGAAGATAAAGAAAGCAAACCGAAAATGACGAACATGTGATGGTGAAAATGATGATAAATATCCAGCACAAGCATGAAGGAGTGGGCGGTATAATGTCGAACACGATGTAGCTACAATCTGCAATTACAACCACAGTGGTAAGCACAATACAATCTTGAAATAGCTTTCCAGGAAATCACACAGCACAAAAAAGAATATAAAAGATTAGAGTTAACGATAGCAGCAATTGTAACCTGACAAAGGGCTTGCTGCACAAAAGGCTGTTTCCATGGAGAAAAGTTGTCATCAAAATTATCACCAAGGCTGCTCACAGATGGACGAAGAGCTAAAAAGTCACAAAAGAACATGCCAAATTTAGCAAGGCAATCTCAAGAAAGTTGGGTGAACAATGGTTTTACATTCTTGAAGATGAACATGTTGGAATATAGCAGAATTGAAAAACAACTATTGCATAGCCAACAATCAAATAACCATAACGAGATATAATAATTAAGAGGTAGCTGTAGATTACTGAACGAGTAACTTGTAAGTTTAAATCATATCCTTCTGTAAAATCTAACTGGCATGAAGGCACAATTGAATTTAATGTTCTGTCAGCATTTTTTTATTTTTTATTGTGGGTGATAATTTTCAAATGTGATGTTTAAAGTATTCCATTTATCTTGTAAAAAATTCATTTCTGAAAAATAAAAATTATACTTGAGAAGCTACGTAAGTGGAACCCCGATTCGTATCTGAAGATTTTATGAATTAAGAAATGATATTCATTGCTTAAATATCAAAGCTAGCAGTAAGATAGACAAAATACTAATGGCATAACAAGTTTTACATGGCAGTTTGACTCTTTCTCCGGTAACAATAATCTTAGGCTATTGCTTGCCACTGGGATAATAATTTGAGTTCTACAAGATAATACTGGAAGGAAAATTCAACAAAAATTCGAGGATATGATAAACTCCACCAGAATAGGATTGTTTTGGAAGTTATATGTGTGTGTATGGAACCTCAGATGCTAAAATAACAACTGAAGGTTTAGGAATTCTGATATACATGGCCACTATGTGATACTTGACCTGGAAGCAATGCCTGGACAAGGGGTAAAGCACACCAAAACTCAGAAGTGCTCTCTGCCAATTTGCAGCAAAGCAAAGGCTGCAAAAATACAAATTGAAAGTAAATTAAGTTAACTGATAAGAATGCATCAAATGGAAAGAAATCAGATAATGTTTGCTTAAAGAGTATTGCATTCCTAAAACTGAACTCAACCTGTGACGCACAAGCATAAAGAACATGTAAAATGCCTTCTTCCACTGCCCCTATATCAAGGACACTAAGAATGCTGGAGTCCCAGTTATCATCAGGTATCTGGAATTCTTCTCCAAACAAGCTTGAGTAATCAAGAAGAGGAACAGGATTAGATAATTCAGATTTTGATGTCTCCTCCATAACAGAGGTAACTTCACTGGCAGGGGTTGATGTTTCTTGCACTGCAACAGGCTCTATAAGCTTATGCAGGATTCTAGACACCTAAAATAAAAGGAATCTATCAGTAAGTTAAGTATAGTGCCTGTAAGTGGGCAATCCATCATGAATGTGTAAAGAGCAAAGATAGATAAATGAAAACGTGGATGATAAGTGGGCAATCCATTACCATTCTGCAAATAGTGCCCAGATCAGATTCTTTATATGCCTTTCTCAGCAGCACAAAAATCGCATCAGGTCGGAATACCATGGAACTGGAAGTGGATGAGATAAATGAAGACGAGCTCCGTGATCTTCTCGGCTGTATGTGCAAAAGGAGGTCAGACATGCCATCTCCATTGTAAGAAAAAATAAAAGATTTTTGAAAATCAAGGTACTTAGACAATGCTTCATACAAAATTAATCAGCAATATTGTTAGAAAAACATCTCTAAAAAAAGGCTCATCCGACAACATTCAACCCCTACATATATCAACATGTAGTTTCTCAATTCTTTCACAAATATAATAGGAGCCTTGAAGTTGTCAAAACTTCTGACTGATTATGCACATGAAACCAAAGCAAAACATAATAGATGACTAACAACCAAGAATATCAGGTGCTACCTCAAAGTTAGAAGAAACAGTTAAGGAAGATGATGGTTGATTGTTCTTAGGAACATCAGGATCAGAGATATTGCCTGAAGACCTTGCTGTTTCTCTGCAGTATCAGCACAATAATAACCATTGAGTTAGATTGAAGAAACTCCCATGATATATATGTCCAAAAGGAAAATACAAGCTGAAGATCATACAAGTGCAAAAGAAATAAGTAACCATCAGAACCAAACCCAGGGAAAAAAAAAAAATCTTTTCCTTGGGTTGCGAGATCTGATTCAAGGTCCACTTGATCCTCAAACTCCTTTTCTTCGTGATTTTGATTCTTTAATTTAATAGATTTTATTTCATTCGATGATATAAAAGGATCATTGTTTTTCTTTCAATTGATTTCTTTATTTCCACTAACATTTTTATTTCCATTAAAATGTAAAAGAAGAGTAATACGGAAGCAGAACTTGATTTCTTACTAAAAAGGTACTTATGCTTTCCATTAAGATGGAATGATTCTTTAAATCAAAAAATAATCAATAATATCAAAGTATATTGTCTCCTGCTTAGACTGACAAATCCACGAGAAATTATTATATCTTCTATTCAAAGTGGGGAGCTGAGTCTAGATATCCTGATGATTCAGAAAGATTTAACTCTTACAGAATTGATGAAAAGGAAGTATTGATTATCAAATCAGCCCGTCTGTCGGTGAAAAATGATGGAAAAATTACTATGTATCAAACATAAATATTTTATTGGTTCATAAATTGTGAGTTAAGTCATCATACACAGGAACTTGCCCCAGAAGTAGATAAATAGTGCAAAAAGATAGGACAATAACTGGCTGCACCAAACTTGGGATGTCTTAAAATTCACAAGGAAAATGGAATCCATTTTTGAGTGACTTCTGGATGCAAGCACTCGGCAATATGCTTCATAGCAAGACAATACATGGAATCCAGACATTTACTGCTTTACTAGTCTCCAAACCATAATGATCAGCTCAACTGGGGTATAATTCGAGGACTGAAATTCATAAGTGTACAAGAGGTCAAAGAGAATCGGGACACTTCTAAGCCCATTCCCGAAAGCACAGGCCACAATTCTTTCCACAATGCCAGGACAAATCCAGACAAGTCAACAAAATTAACCCTTTATTCCTTCTGCCGGAAACACAAATCTAAGTACCATAACAAAGAAATAGAACAGAAAAGACCAATACCAGCTAAATGACTATTATTCACTCTAGTCAAGGCAGTAGCAAAGGGAAAAATAATAGAAACGATTACAACAATAAGAAGAAAGTATAATTTACTCCCAAATCCTTAAAATTTTAGTTTGATTAAATTTAAGTTCATCTACTTCTAAAACTACACAATAGTCCCTAAGATTTAATGATGCAATGAAACCTCACTACCTCAATACTCCACATTTCCTTCTAAAATATGCACCACAAAGAATACTGTAATGGTTCTATATGCACATGGACTAAAGTTTTAACTGCCCCCAAAATTTAGGTACTTAAAAACAAACTAAGCTAGAATTATTGAATAATCCCTCAAAAGAAGAGAAGAAGAAGAAGAAAAAAACTCAAACCAAAGTGATTCTTTTGTTAGTGGTGTTGTTCTAAGGAAAGCACTTTAATTACAGAAAAAAGTGTCAAACTCATCGTTTGGATTTTAGACTACTTCTATTTCATTCATTTATTTATTTCATGAACTTCAACAATAAATTTAAGCAAGGCCTTTTGGACCATAAGCGCTAAATATGCATTCACAATTTAACTCTCATATAAAGCTTAGCTATTTAAAGCATGCAACAACAGTTGGGTTGAAGATGAAATCTTTGATCCTATAGAATCACTAGAACCTGAAAAACATTGGACAAAGGAGATATCTAGTCGACCTTACCCTTGGTTGCCCACAAAATTTAAACAAGATAACACATGCATGGCAATATAATTTTATAGACACCTAAACCCTAATGAAACGTTAAAAAAAAAATAGGAAAAGGAAGTAATCCCCAGTTACCACTAGTTATTAAATAACTAAAATAACTAGATTTTTAAGTTAAGAAACAAAATATAATAAGAGACAATTTCTAATTTCCCTCAAACAAATTTTTTGAAGATATTCCATTCATCCTCCAAAGGCAATGTGTTGAGATGGTAGAACACAATTCAGTGACGAGGCAGAAAATATTGCAATCATTTCTACATTTGCAATCACAATTTCTCCTAAAAAACAATTAGAAACTCAATTATCCGGTTGTCAACCTCAGTTGTACTATATATCATTAAATGTAATATATACACAGCAATTACAAGCCTTTAATTGGATTATTAAAAAAAAATGCTAGAGAAGAATGGACATAAGGCAAGAAAAAGCATACAAGTTTCTGCAGCATGTTTTCCTCCTTTATGGAATTACATATGCTTTGGAAGTGAAATCTCATGGTATGTTGTTGGAAGCTAATGCTTAAAACATGCATGAAAGATATTCAGCAGGTTGACCAACCTTTCATTCACAATATGAAGTATTGGATACAATGGACCCGCAAGCATAGCAAGAAAACGTAAGTTTTGCTCAGGAGCATCTAAGAAGCTGGTTAAGTCTGTCTGCAAAGTAATAAAAACACAAAGATAATAAATAGTAGCAAATAAACAAAATTACAAGCAACAATACAACAAAAATCACGTTCCTCTGCTAAAATTAGCAAATAAAATACCTCAAGTTGGGGAAGGAAGACATGCAAACGGTTTGTTATGTCTTGAAGCAACTACAAGCAACAGTTGTCAGAATGCAAATAAAAATGATGATACGACTCAGGAAATACATTTAAATTTTTAGATATTGTATTAATAATGTGATCCACCTGAAGATGCATATCATGAGCATCTTGCTTGTGTGATGTAATGTTTGGCAACAAGTGATTAACAACTGGTAGAAACTCCGGTTCAAGACTAGCCACAGGAACCCCAATCAGCTGCAAGGCAGGAATGGTAGTAACAACTTTAGCACCAATAAACAGAGATCAAACAACAATCAAGGCGCTAGTAATGAACTTCACTCAATAGTCACATAGGCAATTCAGAAATAGATAAGTAATGCCAGTAACTGAAAGTGAGCCAAGACTATTAATATTAACAAATAAAAAGTCTCAGACATGTGAAAGTTACAGAAGTTTAAAAAAAAAATACTTAAATCTGTTATTGTGAATTTTGTTATTAGTAAACAACATTTTTTTTCCATGCCTTATAGCAGTCAGTGGCTGGCACAGGACTAGATAGTTCAAAACAGCATTAGTTACTGGATAACAAGAATATGCTAAATCAAAAGAGAAAATGAAGCTATTACATGATACCATGATAGCAAGGTGATCCAAATCAGAAAGGGCAGAATAATCACAACATACCTGAATGAAAAAAATGGCTATGGGATTTCCCCGTAAGCAAGATATCCGGACATAGCGGCATGGAGTGTAGTTCATAGGGTAAATCATATCACGACGAGGTGCTTCACATCGTGGCCGAACTTTAACAAACGTCTCTGGCTAGTTATACAGAAAAAGAAAAAAAAATCATTAACCATGCTCTATAGCACATTCAATATACATATACTGCTACCTCAATAGTTTAAGGATTAATTGTTAAGAAACAAAAAAATAATACCCGTAACTTTTAGTTTCCAGTAAACATTTTAACAATATAAACCATAAAAACAGTAAAATAAAAGAAAAAAGAAGACTAAATGCAAGCAAAACCTAAATGGCTAGCCTACCTTATAACGTAAACCAACTGCAATTTCCCATTCAAGTACCGACTTGTTATATATTCGTATATGCGATAACAAACAAGGTTCCTGCAAGCCAAATAATAATAATCAAATCAGAGGAAAAAAAATTGAGCTGAAAATTATTAAAAGTAAAATTAAAGAAGATGATGAGATTGAGTTGAAAGGGAAAAATGAATTATGATGATTGCATACATCAAGTTCAAGAAGGATCCACTCTTTGGTGTTGGTGGCAGTAGACCAGTGAGAGCGAAGGTCAGCATCGAGGACATGAGAGGCTTTTTGAGAAGGAGATTCTCTTGACATTCCTTTCACTTTGTAGCTTAGTGCTTTCACTCTCGCCTCCATTTCTATCTCCATTTCGATTTTCTTTTCTTCTTTGTTTTAGGGTTCCTCTTTCGATCATTCAATTTTTACGGATGCCAGAGAACGAGGACAGACTCTTCTTTCCAGTTTTCCCTTCTCGTTTTCTTTACAGGCGAGAGGAGTCAAAATAAATACATATCAGTTCCTGAGGTTTACATCTTTTGTTATTTCGATGCTTGTACTTTTAATCTTGTAATTAACCATTTTATGTCAAAAACAATGAGTCAGATTTAAGAATGACAATGGACAGATACCCAGCCATTAATATAATTTTTTACCCTAACCATTAAAAACATATTGCATCCAATATTTATAAAAAAATTACAATATAAATCTTTATTCAGTCCATACCAGTTTATCCGTTCATTTAATATCCATTACATACACGTTAAATTTAATTTATCAAAAATATTCATTTTAGTTCTCATAATTTTTAAGAAAATTTTTTATCCTTAATTTTTTTTTTTTGTCATTTATTTATAAGTTTTTTTGGTTTTTAAAGTTTTCAAAAAAATATTTTGATCCTTGATTTTTAAATTTTATGCAATTAGATCCGTACATGTTAATTAAAAAAAATCTAAATAAATTAGCGTATATTGATAGGGTAAATAGTGGGTATCTATATCCTGAAATCATATTAGTTGATCTGTATTTTCTTACTCTTATCCACTTTAATACCTAGTATTTTTAATGAGTATTTAATAGACTAGATAAAACGAATACTCATTACTCATTTTGCATCGGACTCATTAATATCTCTAGTCAAATTAAAAGATTTGTTGATAAACGAGAAGTTTTTGAATAATTGTTATGAGTACAAAACACAAGAATAAAAGTTTTTATGGCTTACTTGTGTGCTATGTGGCATTTGGTCACAAAAGAAACGAGACAAGATAACGAGTAAGTAGACCAACTACTACAAATGATGGAGATTGAATCGTATTTAGTATTATTGTATAAGATAGAATGATTGTCTATATAATTTATTTAGTTGAACATAGATTAAACAATATAAATGTAAAAATAATACATTTAAAACATTTAAGAGATATTTCTTTTAGTTTATTATATTATGCATATTTTATCTATTAGATTATAATATGAAAAGGTAAAAAGAATCTATAATAAAAAAAAATGCATGTCCTTTAATTTTCATTGTATTTAATAAATTTTCTACAATATTAATTTTATATAATGTCGAGTGCAAAAATTACTATGTAAATGTACAAAAATACGAGTTGATAAAAAAATATATTATGAAAAATAAAAATAAATTTTAAGATATGAAAATATATTTTGCAAAATGAATGGGCCTCTACCTAAATGCAATTTTTTAATCTTTAAAAAAGCAAAACAAAACCAAAAACTCTTCTCAATCCTTTAAACACAAACATAACATCAGAGAGTATTTTTTACAATCCAATCAACAAAAAATCAAATTTATATTGTTTAGATATAAAAATTTTAATTCATATTTATCTCAATTTTATTAATAAAATTACGTAATTTAGATGTTTATGGATTCAATGTTATCATTTTATTTTTGAACGATGTGTTATAGTCAAATTCCATCCAACCTAATGTTTTTCTTTACTTCTTCTTTCTTTTGCCTATTCTATTTCTCTTTTTTTGTTTTATTTTATTACTTTTCTTTTCATATATTTTCACTTATCGTATAGATTATTCGAAACACAAAAAGAATGACGCATATTTGAAAGTGGAGATCTTACTTGAAAATAAAAAATAATTTAATTTAATCAAATTATTTCAGCTTTTTGAACCATCCACGTCTATTTTCTATCCTATTACTATTATTAATATTTTCCAAAAAAAAACTTATTAAATAGTTGAAATCATATTTAGCAGTTTAGGATTATTTTCAATTAACTATTACTTTGATAGATATATATATTTTTTTTTTGGTTTAAAATTCTTATTGCTGCTGATACATTCTTTAATTTGAAAACATGTTAAAACCTTAGGGAGTTGATTGACAAAGATAGTTTACGTGTCTAATTAAGAACATTGAAAGTCATGGCAGGTAAACTGTAATTTACCCCAAATGCTTTTACCTTTACCAGATAAAAAAAAAAAAAAAAAAAAATCCCAACAGTCAAACTTGCGGTAAACGTGACAAGAAAAGAGATCCGTTTCCTCTCTCTCTCTCTCTCTCTCTCTCTCTCTCTGAAGTCTCACCGTCTCGCATCTTTGCCGTAGCTTTTTTGTAGCTGATAATTGACTGCACTCTCTCTCTCTCATCGACAGGTAGACAAGATAGCAAGGTGCGATCTCTGTTTCCTTTGCACTCTACTCTATTATTATGTTAAATCTATGACAAGCAAAACCCTAAATTTGGCATTTCTTTTATTTATTTATAATAAGAATTATGCATTAAATGGAATTGTGGTTAGGTTATTGCTAGAAGGTAAAAGAAAAAGAAAAAATCGATGGCAAGCAGCCTTAGAAATGTGAAGATTAAGACAAGTAGTTGCAAACGAATAGTGAAGGAGCTGCGTTCTTATGAGAAAGAGGTCGAGAACGAAGCTGCTAAAACAGCTGAGATGAAGGACAAAGGAGCTGACGCTTATGACCTTAAGCAACAGGTATGCCATGCCATGTCCACTACTCTGAGTCAATCTCAGTACTATAGCTCTGTAGTGTTTTTATTAATAATTAGCATTGATTTTTGTTTTGGTTTGGACAGGAAAATGTGCTGGCTGAGTCGAGGATGATGATTCCAGATTGTCGGAAACGCCTCGAGGCTGCATTAGCTGATCTCAAAGGAATTCTGGTATGATTCCATTTCATTTATAATTACTATACCGTTGATGAGTTGCCACATTTATGGTGCCAATGTTTATGGCATGGTAAAATTCAGTGAGTGACTCGGCAGAATAAACTGCCCCCTGTTGGTCTTTGTGGGTTAGGAGTTTTAGCCACCACAATTATATGTATTATTGATTTTGGCTTCAATTGCATGTGATGGAACTAGATATCTGATGATGTTGTGGTAGCTATTCTACAACTGTAGTTATTTGCATACTAGTTTCCCCCCATCGGTGCTGGGCAGCTGGTCCTAGATAGGGTGGAATGAGTGAGGCAGATCATAATTAATTTGGAATTGAGGCTCAGCTGAATTGAGTTCAGTTGAGTATATGGAACCTGGCAGCATTGTCAAGGAGATATGTACCCCCCCATGAGGATAGAATTACGTTTACATCCCTTCACTTCAAACAATGCCTTTTCTTCTTTTTCTTTCTTTCTCACTGTCTTTCTTTTTTTGCTTTTTTCTTTTCTTTTTTTTTTTAATTTCTATTCTGGGATCTCCCTTTGGCTAGTTATATCTTACTACCCTTTCATTTGAGAGCTGTGGGAATGGAGTTTTGAGTTGCATTTAGGAACCTTGAAAGAATAACATGATCAAGATCCTACGCTGTGGACTCCTGTAGCAAAGAAGAAAATTTTCTCATTTAAATTTTCCAATCTAGAGTTGCTTCTGGCTCTCCACCCTTAGGAGATGCTGGATCCTGTTTGTATCTTAGGTACAAATCGAAAAGGAAGCTCTTGTTAAATGATCAGTTATTCACGGTCACATAAATACTATACAAACCAGCTTGTTGTTTTACTTCATAGTTTGCTGCATTTGTTTTTTCCCCTATCTATGTGGTTTTGTGTATGGACGTTGTTAAGTAGAATTTAACTTTCAGGCCGAGTTAGAGGAATCTGATCAGAAGGAAGGCCCAGAAATTGAGGATGCCAGAAACACTATTGCTGAGATTGAACAGTTGTTTCAAACAACCGATGCTTAATGTCTATTTAATGTAAAGTGTTTGACATTAATGGCATGAATTTGCATGGTTTATTTTCCTGAGCATGTATTGCTACCTTGATGGGTGTTGGAATTTGTTTTTTTTTTTTTGTGACCCTAATCTCTTGCTGAAATATGCTAGTTGAAGGATGTTATTACATGAAATTTTGTGTCATTGTTCGAGCTTGTTGGAAAATGCATCTCATAAGGTTTTAAGTCTTCTACAGGCTGTCTTAGAAATATGATATCATCTGGATCATTTGAAAACGTATCTTTTGATGTACCATTTCTTTTGATTTCAGTCTTCCCAGCCCGTAATCATCTTTGCATAGTTTACACACTGGACCATTTCTCTTGCATCTCCTCTATCCTCTCTCAGCCACCGGTAAAGGCATTCCAAAAATAATATATGGAGCAAGTTGGGAGACATTAAAAACTTGAGTCACCCATACTAAAAAAAAATAAAATCAATGGAAGTAGGTTCCAATCAGTATTATAAGTTTCAAGAACAGAACCCTAAACAAGAAACGACCCTGATTGGACAAGGGAAAAACATAGATTTAATTCGCTTTATTCTTTCCAGCTTTCTTCAGAAATGCCGCTATAGGAAGAATGTGGACTCAAAGTGAAAATTGTTTGAATAAAGAAGGGATACAATGCTCACCATGGTGGTTGTAAGAGAATATTATATATTATATCCTAAGAATCTTACTAGTGACTTAATTTTTTAGGTTGATATGGTTTTTTTACAATATATTATAGTGTATATGGTATGATAGTGATCGAATTGTATTAAAGAGTAATATAATAATGATTAAAAAAAAGAGTCTTATAAACCACCAATTTGTTTTTGAAAGACATCTATGATTATGCCCGAGGCATCTGTGTATCTAAATTTGAAACTTGAGTCTGCTGTTAAACTCAAAATAACAATTGGTGAAAATTTTGGGATTTGGCATCACTTGTTGACTCTGACTCGTTACAGGACCTTTGAGAATTCAAAAGATAATTCAGTTTGGTCGTGCGAACAGCCAGCTGGCTTTTTTTTTCATTTTGTTTAAAGAAAAGGGCATGGAGGTGGTTGGTGAAGTCCACTGCCGTGACTGCTCCACAGCCATTGCCACTATGCCGCCTGCTTATTCGGATATAACTACGGCCACTAAAAGGGCGTAGCGAACCAATCAATGGTGATATTTGTGAACAGGCGGCACAAAGTTTTGTTAAAGCTGCCTTGCCCGTGTCTAGAGCCACAACGTGAAGCCCCTTAGCAACTAATCTCTTTTCTGAGGTCAAGCTAGGAATGCATTAGACAAATTTTTTTTTTTTTTTATGAAAGAAAGGTTGAGTCATGCTAACCTGAAAAAGGTTTTCAATAGTGAAAGCCACCACAAAGTTAAAAACCAATGAAGCAAGCTATTCTCATAAGGATTAAGTCCTAAAAATGAGGTCTGGGCAAAGTTTTAATGTGGCTGAACTTATACCATATGATTGAGTTAACAATTTCAGGAAAGGGTAAATAAGAGTTCCTGTACATTTCCAATGTTTCAACAATGAAAGAAAGAAGAAAGTAAAACAGAGCCATTCTTTGTTCATGAAAATCAATCCCCTTAGATTTGTGTTTTTTCATAAAGAATGGCGAGACCCTTTTCTGAGCTTTCTACGGAAAGGCCTGCAAGCTACAATGCTAAGATCAACTGCAGCTGCAAGTGCCATAAAGATTGCAGCATCCTCCACACATGTCACATGTCGCATGGCCAACTGAACCAATGGCTTGCTGTGCTTCCCTTCCCCCTGCACTCTACAGCTCATGACAAAACCAGCGACAACGGGACCCAGCCCTGAAAAATCTCCACTACTTTGTGGGCTTGGTATTGGAGTTGCTGCAGTTCGCAACTGCCTGTCAGTGTCTATGAAAAATTCCCCACCCTTTTCAGCACTGATGAGGATCTCAGACATGAGAACCTCACCACCTTCCTGGCCTTCAGACAGGAGGTGAAATCTGCAGCAAATGGAGTCTCTGATGCCACGTTCACGCCATGCCTCAAGCTTTCCCCATGGCTGCCAGCTGTCAGGCCTGCAAGCATCTGGGCGAACAATCAACCAAGCTCCTGGGTTGGACCTAGCAACCCAATCACAACCTGTTGCGGGCACAAAGGGAGTTGTTATGAAGGCTGCAGCAACAGCAGATCCAGAAAGATCGTGTATCTTCACCTTCCATCCCTTTCGTTCTCTTCTTTCTGTTTCAACACCAGCACCATCAACAGAAGTTGACCAATAGGTGCTCAATGGATCTACTTGCGTTAACCTGTCAATTCATAAGCATCAAAAGTTTCATCAACGATGATCTAATAACTGGAACAATGGCAGGGGTGTCTGTTAAGTTGTTGGACACTGAACTACACTACAAAAAAACTAATACCAAACCAGCATGCACAATGAGACGGTTGTCATAGTAAAGACCTGCTTCCTAGACCGTGCACATCCTCCAAATTCTTTGTAGTGCACATAGACCAAGCACATACAAAGTTCTACTGACTGGAGATATTCAATTGAGAATCAGCTCCAAAAACCATTGTAGTCAAAGGAATGCAGAAATCTTAGCAATCTAAGAAATCTATAGCAAAGAAAAGTATTTCAAAAACATTATGTAAGAAGAGAGCACATGATTCATATCACCTGTCTCGATTAAATTTGCAACTGAATATGGGCTGCTTGATGGAGCCCTGAAGCTGAACAATCTGAGGACTCGATGTGGTCACATCTTCAAACTGGAACACATATCTTGGATCAGGATCCAGTTTCACTCTCAAATGAAGTTCAGCTCCTGGTTTTCCACTCTCCTGCTTGTTTTTGCCAATACCTATCCAGCCATTAAAAAGAATCACCGGTTTGCCCTCACCCCATTCAGGGCCTACTTCCAGCTTAAACGTTCCTATCTGCTGCCTTTTGATGCCAACACCACAATGTGAACCCTTTCTCCCAGTGAAAACAGCAACCTCAAGACATGCATGATTGGCATAAAAACAGCCAGGTGCCAGTAATGCTTTCAGATCAGATTCTTCAAGATAAAAGCTTGAAGCAATACTGTGAATGTCAGGTGCCACTTCAGGTGAGGATAACAAAGGGACTGCTGTTGTTTGCACAGGGAAACCTCGAAGTCGTATCTCACATGAGCATGGAGAAGTGAATGCCTGGATTCCAGATTTTTCAGAATTTAAAGTTGTTCCAGAAATCCTCAGTCCAAGGGAGCCTATCGACAACCTGATGAAAGCCTGAGGATCCATTATGGTCACAAATCTTTCTCCATTGGATCAAAAGCTCTATGCTTGGCCAATTCAAGTACTCTGTCACAGTAGACAAGTGACAATCAAACTCATTGCTGAGAATAAAATGAAGTTAGTCTATTCTGGAAATAATTGAATGTTGTCATTTTATTAAAGAACAATTTAGTTTTACTGTGCACCATTTTACATTATCTGGCATGCACAGAGATATCTTATTATGAGCTCAATACGGCTACTCATAACCAAAGAACTTTTCATTATTCCAGAATTTGTCAATTGTTGATGCTCAATGAGCAAGGAAAGCAATCCATATGCTACATGGAATACAGTCTTAACACATGTCACACACACACACAAAAAGAAAGAAAAAGGAAGAATGGGTATTCATCATTTGGGATTGCCAAGCCTAAGCTAACATGCATGGAAAAAGACAGACAACTCAAGAAGACAACAAAATTATTATTTCAACACCAGGAAAGGAAGATCCCAAATGTATAAAGGAACCAAAAGACCGTGACAAGATAAGCCAGAAATATCAAATATTCAGACTGAACCAGATTCCCAATTTACAAGTAAATGAATATTCAAGTGTTCCAGCTGATGCCATTCTTCTCATATTTTAATGTTCATTGTATCAGTCCAGAAAGAGTCACCAAGCGAAGCTATACTGAAGCTTGATTTTCAACAGCAGGGCCTTAGTAGCTCATTAAAGAAACATAATAAATGTAGAGAAAAAATGAACACCTACAATCAAGTCTAATCCAAAACATCCTGAAAAGTTACAACTGCTATCTACTATTACATGCACTTCTAAATTGTAAAACTCGATTCCCTTCCTCAAAAAAAAAAAAAATTCACTTACAAGGTGAAGTGCCACTACAGCCGTGCATCAGGATTTTTCGAGCTTAAATCGACAAATAAAAACATATGGCAGACACCATGTAGGTGTGACCCATTATCTGCTTTATTTTGTGCTTTTATCAGATCCACGTTGAAACTTGCGAAAGGTGACAAGCATATAAATGGCAATAATCCTGTTAGATTTCTACTTCATCCCTCAGGGAATTCATATAATCCAATCACACTTCTAAAACAAAACAGAGAGAAGACCTGTCAATTGTTGGAGCCAGATTAGATACTCTTAAACTCGGTGAAATATTGATTAATAATTAGCCAATGGGAAGATCACAAAATTTTCCAATCATTAAGAGTTCTGAACAACCCTGCTAAGCTCCAAACCTCATATACCAGCTGCGTTATGCAAAATCAGCAAGCTAAAAGTCTAAAGCAGAGTATCCTCAGTGCCTAAACTCATTTGAACATTAAATTCAATTTGATAAGCTCTCCTCATTTGCCCCACTGAAAACAGGAGGAAGTGAGCAGAAACCAGAATTTGTAATTTTATATTCAGGGTCTTCAAAATTTGAAAATAAACCTCAACCAAAACCATGAAGAGCTGAGTTCACACATTCAAGTCTTGGCATGTAAACTTCAACTCAATTCCTTCGCTACTGTAATTCTAACTCATTGAATTATATCAGCAATAAAGTTATACATACAAAACTCGAACAAAATTGAGTGAAAATTGGGTAACCCAACAACATAAGAAGACCAAATTTATATGAAAATTGAGAGAAAAATTGGGTAAACTCCACCTAAACCTGACCCAAATTTGCACCAACACCACTCAACAATCACATAAGTACTTAAATAAAGTCAAACACACAAAAAATCAAAATCATGGAAAGATAGAAGAGCTGAACTAAGCTAACTAAACACACACGCAAAGCACAAACCATAGCCATATGTACATAGTACGTAGCACAGCACATAGTAATATGCAACAAAGAAAACAAGAAAGACCCACCTGAGCATTCTTACTTGAAAAAGCTCCAATTGAGCAAGAAACCTATATGTGAAAACAGAATTAGCAGAGAAACAAAAACAACAATTTTCAAACGATTCCCACAAAACCCTGCATACAAAAAGACCAGATTTTTATGAAAAGGAGAAACACCCTTTCTCTCTCTGTTTCTAAGGGCTTCTTCTTTTTGGTTGTTTTCTCTCACTCTAAAAAGCCAACAAGAAGGTGACTTTTTTTATAGTATTATTATCATCAATATCACTAGACTAGTAAGAAAAGGGAAAAAAAAAACAAAGAAAGAAAGAAAGCAACAATGACAACTAAGATGGGAATGAAACAAACAACAATAATAAGGCAATCTGGGATTTCACGTAGACTTTGCACGGATCACGAGGGAACAGACCATATACAACTCTCATTTTTTTCCCTCCCTCCCTTTATATATTTATCCAAAGAGACAGAGAGATTTGCAAAATGGGGGTTTTTTTTTTTCGGTTTATTTGCATTATTATGACCAAATCAAGTCCGAGAGAATGTCAAGTGAGTATTGAGAATAATTTGATTTATTCAGAAATTAATGAATATGAGAAAGGGACAAATTTTCAGCCAATTCTCATTTTGATCCCCATACGAAAACATTTTTCAATTGGCTCTCGTCTATCAATATTATCCAATTGACTCCTATCTTAAAATTATAAAAAACAATTAAAGTAAAATCGAGACAAGTCAAGCTAAGTACCTAAACATTCAAGCTCGGCACGATAATATGATTGAACTCGATTTAAAATCAAGTTATTTTTAAATTGTATTATTCAAACTCTAATAATTAAATATGTTGTAAATTCGAATTTATTTCAATATAATCTGTAATATTTAAAACTCGAATTTTTGAATTTTTTAGTATAAATATCTAGTTTGTTTGAGTTTTCAAACTAAGATTCTTTAATAATTGATATTAGCTAGTAGTAAATAAAGAAAACAAAACTTATAGCTTATAGCCTAAAGATGTAAAACAACTTTTTCTTCTATTCTTTTCTCTCTTTTTTTCTTTTTCTTTTTTTTTAAGTAAAGGTCTTCCATACACACAATTCATGTTAGCTTTTATATATATATATATATATATATTGAGCGTCTCTCATTCATGAATAGAATAAATCAGAATAGTATTTTATTCAAATTCAATTTATTTTTTAAATGAGTTTGAAAATTTGATCAAACTCTATTCATATAAATCATGAACAAGTTTGAATGAATTTTAAAATTTGTACTTAGACTATTCTATTTTGTTTTACAATAATAAAAAGGAGAATCTATTTATCTAAAAATGATATCGTGCTTGTCATAATTTTTAATGATACAAGTTATTTTGGTTATGCTTAAGAGGTGAAGGATTGAATTGAGAATCAGGTGATAGTTGGGGTACTAATAGATCCTTTCCCTTTAATTAATTAACGTAGTCTTTTTGTTTATTAAAAAGGAAATGAAAGAAAGAGAGGAAACAACAAAAGATAGGGAGAGATAAGCGGGGGAGGTGAGAGAAAGTAGTGAATACAGCTGGAAGCGACGGTGGTTGGACTGTAGAAAGAAATGGAATCGCTTTCAGACATACATTGATACATGGCCAAACTCCATTCTCCCAAACCGTCCCTCTCTTTGGTTTTTTTTTTTTTTTGCCCCCCTTCATTTATTGTTTTTATATTATTAGTACTTTGAAATTTTTGTAATTAAACAGAAATATTTCCCAATTATTAGTGATTTGCCATTTTTATCTAACTAATTAATTACACCCTCTTGAACAATTTTTTTTGGCTCGTAATCATGACTTTTCTTAAATGGGAAAATATGAGTAACGTTAGATTTGTCACGCTTGTTTCCATAATTTAGGATAAAATTAAAACTTCCAAAACAAACAAGAAGAAGATAAATGAAAAAAATAATTACAAGAAAAGCATTGAATTTTATTCTTATTTTCTTACATGATTACTGGGATCTAAGTTAACTCCATGCATAAGAATATTGGTGAAATAGAAGTCTTGCTATAAAAGGTAAATTTCAATTTGTCATTCTGAAAATTATCTATTGTTTCAATTTCTCCTAAAAAAAATATTGTTTGTTGTAATCAAACTTTGTATCTTTTATATTTGTTTTACTCTTCAATTTTGTTCAAAAATTGTAACGAAAAAAGTGTGTAAATTTTAATTTCGTCCTAAAATTAGTAAAATATCTCAATATAACACAAAAATTAAGAATGAATAAATTAATATTAAAAGATTTATTAAAAAAGAAAATTTTTAGTAAAAAAAATTTTAAAAATGAATTTTTTTTCATCAACACTATCTCCCAATCATTTGACAATACAAGAATAAAACTAAATTAAAAAATAAATATAATTAAAAAAATTAGCAACAATATCAACCCTTACTGTGGTTGCCTCTCCCGTAATTTCACAATAACATATCTTATCTACATAATTTATCTAATTTTTCATCAAAATCTTCTATACAATCTTAAAACAAGAATTATGAGGAAAAAAATTGGCATATTATATTATTATATGGTTATAATGGTAGAATGAGAATAAGACAAGTTCAACACATGAAGAATTAAATTCATTTAAATCTTATTTTTTATTTAACTTAATCTTGACAAAGGACAAGATGATATTGTTATGTGGGAATGAAGTTGATAGAATTAAGATATTTCTTGATAAACTAACCCTTTTAAATTTTACCATATTTGTTTTACTAAAAAAGTATCTTTTTCAATTGATTTTTAGTTTTTATTTTTGTTAATTTCATTTTTTTTTTTATCTTTCTCTTTACTTTTTAGATGATATTGAGATATTTTGTAAACTTCAAAAACATGATTGAAATTTACACAAGTTTATCATTGTCATTTTTTGACAAACCAACCCTTTTAAATTTTATCATTTTTTTTTTACTAAAAAAGTACCTTTTTCAATTGATTTTAGTTTTTATTTTTGTTAATTTCAATTTGTTTATTTTTCTCTTTACTTTTTAGATGATATTGAGATATTTTGTAAACTTCAAAGACACGGTTGAAATTTACACAAGTCTACCGTTATCATTTCTTGATAAACCAACCCTTTTAAATTTTGCCATATTTTTTTTACTAA